CAAAACTCAATACTCAACTCAAAACTTGAAATTCATACATGTTTACGAGTTTTGAGTCCCGAACATCAAGTCCCGACTATGGATCCTGGGTATTAAATTTTACAAGTTTCAAGTCCCGAACATCGAGTCCCGACCATCGAGACCTGAAGCCCGAGATTCCAGACTCGAATCCCAACTAAGTCTTGAGTGACCAAGTACCAAGTGCCAAGTGCTGAGTGCCAAGTACCGAGTGCTGAGACCCGAGACCCAAAGCCTGAGACCCGAAACCCGGGAGTACCAAACTCCAACCTCCAAACTCGCAAAATGTATATCATGTAAAAAACTCGAAACTTGTAGAAATGTACAAGTTTTGAGTCTCAAGTGACCAAGTACCAAGTGCTGAGTGCCGAGGCCCAAGGCCCGAGACCCGAGACCCGAAGTCCGAGACCCGAAACATGGGAGTACCAAACTCCAACCTCCAAACTCACAAAAATGTATATCATGTACAAAACTCGAAACTTGTAGAAATGTACAAGTTTCGAGTCTTGAGTGACCAAGTACCGAGTACCGAGTGCCAAGGCCTGAGACCCGAGACACAAGACCAGAGACCCGAAGTCCGAGACCCAACACCCGGGACTACCAAACTCCAACCTCCGAACTCACAAAAATGTTTATCATGTAAAAAAACTCGACACTCATAGAAATGTACCAGTTTTGAGTCTTGAGTGACCAAGTACCAAGTGTCGAGTACCGAGTGCCGAGTGCCGAGGCCCGAGACCCGAGACCCGAAGCCCGAGACCCAAACCCCGGGACTACCAAACTCCAACCTCCAAACTCGCAAAAATGTATATCTTATAAAAAACTTGGAACTCGTACATTTCTACGAGTTTCGAGTCTTGAATGACCAAGTACTGAGTACCGAGACCCGAGACCTGAAGCCCGAGACCTGAGACCCGAGACCCGAGGCCCGAAGCCCGAAGCCTGAGACCCGGGACTACCAAAATCCAACCTCCAAACTCGCAAAAATGTATATCATATAAAAAACTCGAAACTCGTACATTTCTACGAGTTTTGAGTCTCAAATGACCAAGTACTGAGTACCAAGTACCGAGACCTGAGGACCCGAGACCCGAGGCCCGAAGCCCGAAAATCAAACTACACCCGACACCCAAAACCCGGGACTACCAAACTCTAACCAAACTCGCAAAAATGTATATCATTTAAAAAACTCGAAACCTTGTAGAAATGTACGAGTTTCGAGTTTCGAATGACCAAGTACCGAGACCCGAGACCCAAGGCCCGAAGCCCGAAAATCAAACTACACCCGACACCCGACACCTGAAACCCGTGACTACAACACTCCAACCTCCAACCTCGCAAAAATGTATATCATATAAAAAACTTGAAACTCGTACATTTCTATGAGTTTCGAGTCTTGAATGACCAAGTACTGAGTACCAAGTGCCGAGTGCCGAGGCCCGAGACCCGAGACCCGAAGCCCGAGACCTGGGACTACCAAACTCTAACCTCCAAACTCGCAAAAATGTATATCATATAAAAAACTCGAAACTCGTACATTTCTAGGAGTTTTGAGTCTCAAATGACCAACTACTGAGTACCGAGTACTGAGACCCGAGACCCGAGGTACGAAAATCAAACTACACCCGACACCCGACACCCGGGACTACCAAACTCCCACCTCCAAACTTGCAAAAATGTATATCATATCAAAAACTCGAAACTTGTAGAAATGTGTGAGTTTCGAGTCTCGAATGACCAAGTACTGAATACCGAGTACTGAGACCCGAGGCCCGAAGCCTGAGACCCAAGACCCGAGGCCCGAAGCCCGAGACCTGGGACTACCAAACTCCAACCTCCAAACTCGCAAAAATGTACATCATATAAAAAACTCGAAACTCGTACATTTCTACGAGTTTTGAGTCTCAAATGACCAAGTACTGAGTACCGAGTACCAAGACCTGAGACCCGAGGACTGAGGCCCGAAGCCTGTACCAGTTTCAAGTCTTGAGTGAAAAAAAAAAATTAAGATGATATGGAAATCACCCAGTATCGAGTACTGAGTCCTGAAATCCGAGGCCCGAAACCCGAAACTCGACTCTTCACCAAGTACTGAGTCCCGAGTACCGAAGCCCGAAACCCGGTACTACCAAATACAATAGTCTACCATTAGGATTTTGATAAGGAGTGACTATGGTAGACCTTATGAATTTTTTCAAAGAAAATCAAAGTGACAGCCCTTGTCAAGGGTAGTCTTTCCATAGTGTCATGACATTTTTCAGTTAAGATCCTAATGAGTTATAAGCAAAGTACTACAAAGTGGTGTGTTCAAGAAAGTTCAGGCACACAAGTGATGTGACTGAGTACCAAGTATTGAGTGCCGAGTTCCGAGCACCAAGTACCAAGTTCCGAGTGCCGAAGTCCAAAACCTGAAACCCGGTCCTACAGACTTGGTAGTTGATACTCGGTAGTTGAGACTCGGTAGTTGAATACAATGGTCTATACTTGATTGTCGTAACACAATAGTCTATACTCAATAGTCTTAACTCGATAGTCTGATACAAGTACCGAACTCCGAAACCCGGTACCACACACTTGGTAGTCGATGCTCAGTTGTTGAGACTCGGCAGTTGAATACAATGGTCTATACTCAATAGTCTTAACTCAATATAAGGGAGTCAGTAATCCAGTACCCGGTACAAGGGAGTTGTACTCGGTACAAGGGAGTCGGCACTCGGTACAAGGGCGTCAGTATTCAATCCAAGGGAGTCGGTACTCAATCCAAGGGAGTTGGTACTCGGTACTCGATACAAGGGAGTTGGTACTCGATGCAAGGGAGTCGGTACTTGGTACAAGGGAGTTAGTATTCAATACAAGGGAGTTGGTTCTCGGTACAAGGGAGTCGGTACTTGATCCATGGGGTCAGTACTCAGTACAAGGGAGTACATACTTGATCCAAGGGAGTCAAGACTCAATACAAGGGAGTCGAGACTCGGAACTCAAGACTCGGTTCTCAATACATGGTAGTTGAGACTCAGTAGTTGAATACAATGGTCTATACTCGATAGTCTTAACACGATAGCAGTAGTTGAGACTCAGTAGTTGAATACAATTCTCTATACTCAATAGTCTCAACATTGGACTTCAATTATTGTGAATACACCTAAGCCTGATAATTATTTTGGTGAAGCTTATATCTTACCTATATCTTACCCTATTGACAAGAAAACACCAGCTATATTTTTGCCTTGACTGGCAGCACATATTTTGTCAAGACGGCTAAGCATCATAATGACATTTCATAATTGACTCACATGCAGGCCCCAATTATTTAAAACATCAAGATCTTATGATAAGATACTTGTTATATGTCTCACATATTCTAGCCATAGCCCACAAGTTTCAGACAGATCCATCAAGTATTGAGTGAAAGGGAAGCAAAGTGACATATGTGTGAAATGTAACAATTGACACCTATCACATAAAAGTCACATTTTCATATGATATAAGTTTGATATTTGGTTAAATATTAGTAGGATATAGGTTACACTACATGAGGAACCTATACAACACTTTGCCCTGAGTGTGGAGGATGTGTGGAAGTGATTTGATGGTAAAGTAAGTTCATGCAGCATTAAGGTCCAACAACTACTCAACTGACCATTTTCGATGTTTTGGGTCTTTTGAGTTTCCCACACTCAATTTCTCATCCATTTCATGTCCTCAGCATTCAATTCTTGTTAGATCATTCTGTAAAGTTAGGCTTATAATACTGAATATATTTGAAAGGTACTACAGGTGTCTTAATATTAAATATCAATGTTTGGAAGGTATGAGCATCTTATCAGTAGAAACAGAGAGCATATACACTAGCTCAATCCTCTCACCTATTTTGCACTGATCTTTAGAATACAATGCACATATATATGTACCACTAATGACATATGAGCAGGCTGGATTTTGTGTGCAAGTGTAATGGAGTGCAAAACATCAAAAACATTAGATTGATGATTGTGTATGATTTTGCTCCTGTAGAAGGATCCTATACATATTTTAAAGTAACTAAGCCATAGATACACTAAGAATATGAATATGAATAGACTTCCTACCCTCCTTGAGGTCCGGTCCTACAGGACAAAATTTCACAGGGGCAAACCACCAGGAGAAGGTAGGTATACTGGATCACAGGGATTTGTCCTATGGTCAAGTACCGAGTACCAACTCCCTTGGATCGAGTACCAACTCCCTTGTATTGGGTACTGGATTACTGTCATATACCGTACACTGAGCCCCTGAATCATATCCCATCTCTCCCAACAAACAATGTCCGGACCTCCGAAATGTAGCCAAGCTATACCTTAACCCTACATACCCCTCAGCAGGATCTGCCCTGTTTCCCATATACATCAGATGTCCTATACGTCGGACGTCTTATTCATCGGTCCTCCTCCTGCATACCTCGGATCTCCTTTTCGTCGGACGTCCTATTCGTCGGATCCCACTCATGTTGTCCACTCGTCCACTCAGTCCGCTCCTCCTGTATTCGTCGGACATCCTATATGTCGGACCCGCTCGGGTCCACTTAATCCCTAAGCATCGGACCCTAAACATCGGACCTACTCAGATCCTGAGCTTCGGACCCAGGTCCACTTAACCCCTAAAACATCGGATCCACTTCACAGTTCATTTCCGGTCCTGCTCCTATTCTGTTACCCCATTTGTATAGTCCCCTTGTCCTAACCCCTATATGCCCGGATATGTTTGACAGTTAATATCCGACTTCATTCTCGATCATACCTCCTATGCCCGGATCCATTCGATACTTCATCTCTGTCTCTGTTCCTGTATTATTTTCCTTGCGCCTGTCAGTTTAACCTTTCCATATGTTCCTCGCGTTGACCCGGATCTCTGCTGACTCCGTCCCCGTCGCACATGTCCATAGTATATAATACCTTGTAAACTCGTAGTAGTTTCCAGAGTTCGAATATCACCTTAGATTATCCTCATTCCTGTTTCCTCGGACCCGGATCCATTTCCATGGACCCAGGGCCACTTCCCTGTCCAACCTCTGTGTCCTGGGATTGATTCCTCGGGCTATACTCCGCCTCTACCTTCGGGTAGTCTACCTCTGTTAGTTTCTACTCTGGACATTGTCTAGTGTAGTCTTACCTCTAGCTTCCACCTTTTCGGACTTCCTGTCCTCTCGGACATACTGTCCTTCTGTCCCCTCGGACTTCCTGTCTTTCTGTCCTTACACCTGTCTATTCTGTCCCCCACGTCCGCCGGACTAAAGCCCCTATTGTCCGGCGGACTAATCCTCTTATGTCGGCCAGACTAACCCTCCTTACGTCGGCCGACGAACCCCCTTTATGTTGGCCGGACTAATCCTCTTATGTCAGCCGGACTAACCCTATGATCGGCCGGACTAACCCCCTGAACATCGGCCTGACTCTTCCTTGGGAAAGCCTACCAGACTTGTCCCCTTGAAGTCCACCGGGATTCATCATCCTCCCTCGGACTTTGTTTCTAGCCTTCGGAAATTAAGGGCACGTACTCGGGTAAGGGGCGCAGCGCACGAGCTGAAGCCAAGCTCTTCAGATCCGCCCTTTGAGCACGGTCTTAACAATTACCGACTCCCTTGGATCGAGTACTGACTCCCTTGTACCGAGTTCCGACTCACTTGTATTGAGTACCAACTCCCGGGGATCCAGTACCGACTCCCTGGGATCAAGTACCGACTCCCTTGTATCGGGTACCGGATTACTGACTCCCTTGGATCAAGTACTGACTCCCATGCATTGAGTCTCAACTCCCTTGTATCAGGTACTGGAGTACTGACTCCCTTGGATCGAGTACCAACTCCCTTGTACCGAGTTCCAACTCACTTGTATTGAGTACCGACTCCCGGGGATCCAGTACCGACTCCCTGGGATCAAGTACTGACTCCCTTGTATCGTGTACCAGATTACCGACTCCCTTGTACCGAGTACCAACTCCCTTGGATCAAGTACCGACTCCCTTGTACTGAGGACCAACTCCCTTGTACTGAGTCTCGACTCCCTTGTATTGGGTACCGGATTACCGACTCCCTTGGATCGAGTACTGACTCCCGTGTATTGAGTCTCGACACCCTTGTATTGAATACCGACTCCCTTGGATCGAGTACCAACTCCCTTGTATCAAGTACCAAGTCTTGAGTTTGGGCTATCGAGTTCAGACTATCAAGTCTCGGCTACCAAGTATTGAGTATTGAGTCTCGACTACCAAGTCTCGAGTCCCAACTACCAAGTACTGAGTTTCGAGTATCGGGTATTGAGTACTGAGTCTCGACTACCATGTATCAAGTACCAAATCCCAACTACCATGTATTGAGTCCCAGCTACCAAGTACCAATTACCGAGTCTTGAGTCAAGACTATTGAGATTGGGCTATTGAGTATAGACTATTGAGTATAGACTATTGTATCAGACTATTGAGTTAAGACTATCGAGTATAGACCATTGTATTCAACTACCGAGTCTCAACTTTGGGCCTCGAGCCTCGGGTCTCGGTACTCGGTACTCAGTACTTTGTCATTTGAGACTCAAAACTCGTAGAAACGTACGAGTTTCAAGTTTTTTATATGATATACATTTTTGTGAGTTTGGAGGTTGGAGTTTGGTAGTCCCGGGCTTCGGGTGTCGGGTGTAGTTTGATTTTCGGGCCTCGAGCCTCGAGCCTCGGGTCTTGGGTCTCAGTGCTCGGTACTCAGTACTTGGTCATTCAAGACTCAAAACTCGTAGAAATGTATGAGTTTCGAGTCTTTTATATGATATACATTTTTGTGAGTTTGGAGGATGGAGTGTCATAGTCCCGGGTCTCGGGTCTCAGGCTTCGGGCCTCGGGTCTCGGGTGTCGGTCCTCAGTACTCAGTACTTGGTCATTCAAGACTCGAAACTTGTAGAAATGTACGAGTTTCGAGTTTTTTTATATGATATACATTTTTGCGAGTTTGGAGGTTGGAGTGTTGTAGTCCTGGGTTTCAGGTGTCGGGTGTAGTTTGATTTTCGGGCTTCGTGCCTCGAGCCTCGGGTCTCGGGTCTCGGTACTCCGTACTTGGTCATTCAAGACTCAAAACTCATAGAAATGTACAAGTTTCGAGTTTTTTATGATATACATTTTTGCGAGTTTGGAGGTTGGAGTGTGGTAGTCCTGGGTCCCAGGTCCCGGTTCTCGGGCTTCGGGTCTCGGGTCTCGGTACTTGGTCATTCAAGATTCGAAACTCGTACATTTCTACGAGTTTCGAGTTTTTTATATGATATACATTTTTGCGAGTTTGGAGGTTGGAGTTTGGTAGTCACGGGTCTCAGGCTTCGGCCTTCGGGCCTCGGGCCTCGGGCCTCGGGTCTCGGGTGTCGGTACTCGGTACTCAATACTTGGTCATTCAAGACTCAAAACTCGTAGAAATGTACAAGTTTCGAGTTTTTTATATGATATACATTTTTGCGAGCTTGGAGGCCGGAGTGTCGTAGTCCCGGGTTCCAGGTGTCGGGTGTAGTTTGATTTTCGGGCCTCGGGTCTCGGGTCTCGGTACTTGGTCATTCGAGACTCAAAACTCGTACATTTCTACGAGTTTCGAGTTTTTTACATAATATACATTTTTGCGAGTTTGGTTAGAGTTTGGTAGTCCCGGGTTTTGGGTGTCGGGTGTTGTTTGATTTTCGGGCTTCGGGCCTCGGGTCTCAGGTCCTCAGGTCTCGGTACTTGGTACTCAGTACTTGGTCATTCGAGACTCGAAACTCGTACATTTCTACAAGTTTCGAGTTTTTGATATGATACACATTTTTGCTACTTTGGAGGTTGGAGTTTGGTAGTCCCGGGGTTCAGGTGTCGGGTGTAGTTTGATTTTCGGGCTTCGGGCTTCGGATCTCGGGTCTTGGTACTTGGTACTTGGCCATTTGAGACTCGAAACTCATACATTTCTATGAGTTTCGAGTTTTTTACATTATATACATTTTTGTGAGTTTGGTTAGAGTTTGGTAGTCCCGGGTTTCGGGGATTCGGGTGCTGGGTGCTGGGTGCTGGGTGTTGGGTGTTGGGTGTTGGGTGTTGGGTGTTGGGTGTTGGGTCTCAGTACTCGTTACTCGGTGATTCAAGACGACAAAGATGTATATCATCTTATATTTGTATTTTCTTAACCCCACCCATGTATCTAATATTACCCGGCATTGGCCCACCTGTCTATGTAAATTCCCCACTTCGGCCCACCCATCTATCTAATATTTCCCTATGTCGGCCCACCCGTCTATCTAATGTTACCCCACGTCGGCCCACCCGTCTATCTAATATTTCCTTATGTCGGCCCACCCGTCTATCTAATATTTCCCCATGTCAACCTACCCATCTATCTGATATCCCCCTATGTCGGCCCACCCGTCTAACTAATAAATAATTCCCCTCACCCTCGGCCCACCCGTCTATCTAATAAATAATTCCCCTCACCCTCGGCCCACCTGTCTATCTAATAAATAACTTGCCTCACCCTCGGCCCACCCATGTATCTAATATTTCCTTACATCGGCCCACCGGTCTATATAATATTACCCCACGTTGGCCCACCGGTCTATCTAATATTTCCCCACATCGGCCCACCGGTCTATCTAATATACCCCTACATCGGCCCACCGGTCTATATAATAATATTTGTTATACATCTCTCCTCAGGTCTATTAATATATGTCAATCCTACTCTACATATTAATCATGGGCCCACCCATCTCCATCATAATATTTCTCCCGGCCCATCCGCCATCATTGATGATATATATCACATCAGCATAGATGGGCCCACCCGTCTCCATCGGAAATAATATTTCTCCCGGCCCACCCGTCAACATCGGGAATATACATAACATCGGCCCATGATCCGCTGGCCGTATTACACGGGATATTATGTAGGTCGGGTGACCCGTATAATACGGGATTTGTCACTGAAGGGGCTCACAAGATTTAATAGATGCATTAACCGGAGCGACCATGTTTTCAAAGATGGATGTACGATGGGGGTACAACAATATTCGCATGAAAGAAGGAGATGAGTGGAAGGCGGCATTCAAAACGCCCTTTGGTCACCACGAACCAACAGTAATGTACTTTGGCTTAACGAACTCCCCTGCAACTTTCCAGACTATGATGAACGAGATATTCAAAGATTTGATCGAAGACAGAAAAGTAGTTGTCTATATCGATGATATCCTCGTATTCACAAACGCAGACAAAGGAGAACACAGGAAGCTTGTACGAGAGGTGCTCAAAAGATTGAGATATAACGACCTGTTCTTGAAGCCGGAAAAATGTAGCTTCGAACAATCTCAAGTTGAGTTCCTCGGATTGATAGTGGAGAAAGGCGGTGTGTCAATGGACCCTGTGAAAGTAGAAGGAGTATTAAACTGGCCTGTTCCCAAATGCGTAAAAGATATACAAGCATTCATGGGTTTTGCCAACTTCTATCGAAGATTCATATTGGGGTTCTCGAACATCGCTAGACCAATGAATGATTTATTGTGAAAAGATGTCAAATGGGATTGGACGGAGAAGCAACAGAAGGCCTTTGAAGAATTAAAGAGGCAGTTCACAGAAGCCCCGTTATTAGTCATGCCAGACGTTGAAAAGAAAAAGAGAATAGAGACCGATGCTTCTGACTATGCATCCGGTGCAGTACTTTCTCAACTGATGGAAGACGGATTATGGCATCCCGTGGCATATTACTCGAAGTCAATGAACGATGCAGAACGAAATTACGACATCCATGACAAAGAGTTACTCGCAATCATTCGAGCGTTAGAAGAGTGGAGGCACTATGTGCAAGGGGCACCTCACCCAGTGGAGATCTGGACGGATCATAAGAATCTCGAGTATTTCATGACGAGCCAAAAATTGACAAGAAGGCAAGCCAGATGGAGTCTATTCCTGGCGGAGTATGAATTTACGCTCCAACATAAGCCTGGTGTAGTCAACGATAAGGCAGATCGTCTTTCTCGGAGATCAGACCACAGAGGGGGGGTAGAAAACGACAATTCCGACCGCGTTTTGCTGAAACCTGAATTTTTCCAAGCTAAAGCTGCTAAAAGAGGCCAGATGCTCATCGAAGGAGAAAGTTCGTTGCTAAAAAAGATAAGAAAGAGCACGGAACGAGAGCCTGAGGTCATGAAAGCTTTGGAAACGCTAAAGACAGCGCCAGTACAGCTACGCAGAGGAGTTGAAGAGTGGAATGTTGAGGATGGATTGGTGTTGTTCCGAGGCATGGTGTACGTTCCAAACGATAAAGAGATCCGCCGAGAGATATTAGAGTTATTTCACGACTCTCCACCGGCTGGACATCCTGGACGAGCCAAAACCTTAGAATTGATTTCCAGAAATTATTGGTGGCCTTCAATGACGAAGTATGTTCACTGATTACTGTAGATGGTTGCGATCGATGCAAACAGACAAAAGTGTTCCCAAGCAAACCGACGGGACCTTTGCAGCCAAATGAAGTGCCTAGTGCACCTTGGCAAACGATCTCATGTGACCTTATCGTGGACTTGCCAAAGAGTGAGGGAATGGACAGCATTTTCGTAGTCGTAGATCGATTTTCGAAGCAGTCGTATTTTATCCCCATGGTAAAGGAAGTAGACTCGAAAGGCATTGCCGAGTTATTCCTGAGAAACGTCTGGAAAAATCATGGAACACCAAAGAAGGTGATATCGGATCAAGGAACACAGTTTATCTCGAAGTTCATGGGACAAGTATCAAAAAGATTAGGAACGAAATGGTCACCCTCGACCTCCTATCACCCTAGAACAGACGGACAGACAGAACGCGTAAACCAAGAAATTGAACAATATTTGCGCTTGTTCACATCCTATAGACAGAATGATTGGGTATCTTGGCTACCGATTGCAGAATTTTCACACAACAACGCAGTCACATCAACCGGACACAGCCCTTTCAAAGTCTTATATGGATATAACCCCGAATTCACCGTATCTCCGAACTCCAAATCCCTTATTCCCGCCGCAGATGAGAGAGCGAATCAGATGAAAGAAGCGCGTGAAGATGCAGAAGATACTCTAAAGATGGTTAATGAACGGATGAAGTGTTTCTATGACCGAGGAGTGAAAGACGCACCGAGGTACGAGAAGGGAGACAAGGTCTGGTTAGACGCAAAAAACATTAGACAGCGTCGCCCAAGTCAGAAACTATCAGATCGTCGTCTAGGTCCCTTCGAAATACTAGAGAAGACGGGCGAGGTGAACTATAAATTAAAGTTGCCAGAAAGCTATAAGATTCACCCCGTTTTCCATGTCGAATTACTCACGCCATATCGTCCATCTCAAATGGTTCCTCATTGTCAATCCACCCGACCACCGCCAGAGATCGTTGCCGATCAGGAAGAATTCGTTGTAGAATCCGTATTAGATAGCCGATTGTTCCGAGGAAAGCTGCAATACCTAGTAAAATGGGAAGGATATCCAACAGATGAGTCAACATGGGAGCCAGAAGAGAACTTAAAAAACTCCCCAATTCTTGTTGCAGAATTCCATAAAGAAAATCCCATGGCAGCCGCTTCCAAAAGAATTCGAGGGTCTATTCTAGAAACATCGGAGTTCAAAGAATGGAGACAAAAGAATATCCGCTGAGTGAAAGTGATTCCGTGTAGCCTGTTAGAGTAGACTACCGATCCGTATGAGTGCGAGTATAATAGCTCGTCCCAAGGGGATTGCTACTGAAGGAAGTCTTCGCAATAAATGCGAAGGAATCAATCCGGCGGGCTTAAGATCTGTGCGGCGGACACACGGGTGAAGTCCGTCTAAGGAAGGGAGTGTCCGGACGGAGGACGGTTCGTGTAGGATGGATATCTAGTGGTACGATGATCAAGGTGTCAAGGTGTCAAGGTCTCGAGGTGTCAAGGTTTCAAGGTCTCGAGGTAACGAGCTACCGGAAGTGGTCCGAGGTGCGGGAAGATGTCCGTTGCGACGCGGAAGACTAAGGGGACTTTCTTGATCACTTAGACTTAGATACAAATCCAAGGGAGCAAAAGGGAAGTGATATTGGTAGAATACGACGCAACTATTTATCAGAATCCGTAAGAACTCGGAATCCGCTAAGCGGCGGTAGCATAGGCGAGTCCGTAGCGCGGTAATATGTAAAGGACGGTAAGCGGCCTCATGTATGGGAAGTACAGGTAATACGGACTGCTGGTTGATTAGGGTGATAAAAGAAGACAAATGACGCACCAATGGGGATGGATGGACATGGATAGGCAGGAACCAAGGGAGTCCGTTGTCGGTATCGTATCCGATAGGTGTCCGGAAGGACGGATGCCAACGGAAGAGGCTGGATGGGTGGGGATGCTAATACCTGACCAGGTGGGCTCCGGATTGAACATAAGAGGTGATTGTGAGGCTAGCGCCGGAATGTTTGGTACACCGCCCTTCCGTCTTTTGCGATGACGCTCAACCTAGAGGGGGGGTAATGTCACGAGTTCCAAATACAAATCATTATTCTTTCCTTTCGACTACCAACATTAAGCGCCCGTTCCCAGCGCTAACTCCTAAACGCCCGACATATGTTCCAACTCTTAACCCTAACCCTATCGCTACCATTACCGAAATTCCAACTCCAGACTTAGACGCTCTCACATCACGTGACTCTCCTAGAACCTTCCAGAACTTCACAGAAGCAGCATCGCTCCTCATGACGTCATAGTTCCTTTTTCACATTATCACATCGTACGATTCCGTTTCTTATTTTATGATTGGCTAGTAGTTAGAACTCAGTTTGTATCTCCTCTTGAATAGTTGTATATAGTTAAGACGTTTCTAGTAAGTAGTTCTTTAGTTCAAACCTTTCGTCTCTACATTGTGCAGCAGCCCAAACGTACCTGCTCAATCTCATCTCTTTTATCGTGATATCCTTGTGTTTGAGTCCTAGTCTCTGCCCTAGCATTAAGTTGTTTAAGGGGTTGTGACATATTGATTCTCAATACACCCGAGGCCCTATTACAGCCATTTCGTAAAGATAAGCTTCAAGTTCAGATTGGCTCTTCACAGCGATGGGAGCTTCTGTGTCCTGAGTGCCAAGGATGGTGTCAGACCGGTATTCACTCCGGAATCTCTCTTTGGATACCTGGACAATTTAAGTCGTTCAGCAACCACAGAGGGAGTAAGAAATGTGAGGCTACAGTAAAAAAAAAACAAGAAGATTGGGAACACGCCTGATGCGCCAATACCTCATTCCCTGCCTACATCAGATGTTGATAGGTACATTTCATTTCGGCTCTATTTTATAACATCACTGATCAAATTTTTCCATCAGACTTCGTATCGGATCAGCTACTCATCCTAGCACTACCCAGACCTGCACTGGTGTTCCTATTCACTGGCCAGAGGACCTTCGACCATTTGCGATGCTCTTCCCTTGAGAGTGTTACCACGACGGCCCAGACTCACTCCCTTACACGATCAATATCGCCAACTTCTCCATGCCTCGTGCCCGATCGAAACTATGTTCAGGATCGGCTACATCAGATCTTCCCTGCGATGAGTGTACTGACGTCTCAGTACACATTGCACGCCTTGCGGAACTTGCGAGGGATCCCAAACCGCACACAAACTACAAATTTTTAGGGCTTGCACACATGCAGGACACCGCCAGGAGCTATGCGTATCAAGTGAACACCCTCAAACTTAAGGTATTTTTATTCAAGTACTTATGTATTATAACTCACTCCAATCAGGGACTAACTGACTCCCGCAAATATATGAGGGCCCTCACCCAGCTGGACGACTACCATCGGTTTCTCATGGCCATCTCAGACAACGACATCCCCCGACTCCAGCAAATTATCAATGTTGCCCTACGTGACGGCGCAAGTATCCGTGGAATTGTCAACAAATTAGAAGACGCGCTGGAGGGAGTATATCGTCCCCGAGGCTATGGCGCTGATGATCTCGACATAGCTACATTGGTTTACAGACTCGGGGGACGCCAACTCCTTTTCGCCCTCAACAAGACCCTTGATCTCCCATCCCTTCGTACTCTCCAGACTCTTTCCGTCTTCACCTTGATCACTCCGACAATTGGTCCCATCGTCAATCAGAACTTCGACGACAATATCTGATCGATCATTCTCAACACCCGCGTCGGTGTGACAGAGTCACCCCGTGGCGTCAGTCTTATGGTCGACGAAATGGCCATTGAAGAAATGGCCATCCACTACCCCAGGTACAACAAGATTGGGGGTCTGTGCTGGAAACACTCCAGTCTCATTGACCCTGTGCTCCGCACGTACGACTCTGCGGTCCGTATCGCACAGAAGATTCACGATGGAGAGGTACACCTTGGAAAGGAGGTAACGGTCATAGGAGCTGCATGCTTCGGCGAAGAAGAACTCTACCCGATCTTAGTTGCGCCCACCTGCAAGACTGAAGATTCCAAAGATACCGAGATCGTCCTTGCTCGCGCGATTCAGCGCTGGAACGCAACTGACGCAGATCAGATTGTCGGGTCTGTGTGGTCATTTGCTACAGATGGCGATGCTACCCGACGTGCTGGAGGTCACTGGCTGTTCCTCAAGAACCCCCTCTCCATGCACTCGCCGTTGTATGGCATACTTTCCAACATGCCCGGGTTGAACATGTTCACTGGCGATGACAAGATCACACTTGATTTCAATTTCAAACATATATTCAAACGTGAGTTTCTTTTTTTAATAAATGATCTTCAGATCTTCTACCAACTATTCAAATAATTTAGGCTTCTGCACGCTCATTTGCTCCCCTGCCGGCATTACTCTGAATAATGGCCGTCTCATCAATGCGGTCATGCTTGCACGCTACCTTGTTTGGTTGCCAGCATATGATGAGGCGAGCGTCGTCAAACTTCTTCACCCGGATGATCTGCAGGATGTTCCCCGAGCCGTCGAGCTCATGTCAGCCATCATCGACTTCTCAAAATCACAGCACGCCATGCTCAACGACTCATTTTCCTCAGATATCGATACATGTGCAGACCTTGCCTCAATCACACTTCTCAGCAGTGTGATCGAATCAATTCTCATTCCCTTCATCAATGTCGATCTCTCGCTCATGGAACAGGTACAATATCTCAGTCGCTACGCCCACCTTTCATTTGCACTCTTCCGTTCTCACCGACGATCCTTCATGGGATATCAACTCTACTATGACTCCCATACCATGTCCAAAAATGTTATGTTCAGCATCACGAAGCAACAGCTTCTTGATCCGAGTGCTTCTTTTTTCCTCGGCAACTCTGGTGACGATCGCCTGGAACTTCATTTCGGGCGCACTCGAATGATAGGTGGCCACAACTCAGGGTACACGTTCACACAGGTTGTAGATCGATTGGGTGCCACAAAGGACATCGATGGTGTCTTCAAGCGGCACCCTGACATGGATCCTGGTCACCATCGTCACCGCCTGGGCACGCGTCAAGAGAACGTCGACCATATCAACTGTGATATGTGGAAAGGCGACATCATATCTGGCCGATGTGATCTCCCATCAGCATGGGCTACTGGTCGCGAGATGGCACTTTCCATTCTTAGCATGAGTCAGATCGATCCCATCAACTTCTCCTTCCTCGACCTCTTTTGTGATCCAGGGGTTGATATATTACGCCCCTTCGGAGAGAATAAGTACTTCGGCATCTCGAACTCTGTAGACGAAGACCTTGCACCCGTCGTGCCTGTTGTGCCTGCTGCTCCTGCGCGTAGTGCAATAGCCCCCTTCCCACTCACTCATTCCAACACCGGGACAATGGACGAGGTCCATATCGAGGATGAAGAACTTATGCTCATGTTCAAAGAAGCACTGACTTCTGAGACCACTTCTGACATACCTTCTGATCACCCCGCTCCATTCATTGATCTGTCAGCTCCTCCGTTGCCAGAAGGTCCTGGAATACACCCTGCAGATTACCTCCTTTTTGAGGGTTGCTGGATACACAAATAGACGATCTGCCGGTTGGTCATCAACAAAGATTTTGTCTCGAAGTCTCACAACCGTCTTGAGCGTGTCTGCGCGGGATATACCAAAGTCAATCGGCAGATCGACATGTCCTCAGGCCACATCACTGACATTAATTCTTTCCTTGTTGGGGACATTTTTGTCACACTTCTTCGATCCAGTCAAACACTATCAATTGCTGTGCTCCGATCGACATCAATATTCCTCAATAACGTATCCCATGCATCAATCAACGCAACCATCATGAAATCTGCTCGAACAACAGCCAAAGTAATCGGACAACTCCTCGCCATCCTCCCAACGCACCCTTCCCCCGAGTCACTTCAACTTTCGTTCCTGTGGAACGGAGGTTATGTCAAGGTGCGCTCTACTATTCAAGGCACGACAGATTCTACGGAACGGGTTGTCACTATCAGCACGACCAGATCAATGATCGAGCCGATCAACCCAGAACCCACTTTCATTTGGCTTCGCGATGACATCAATGCTGACGACTTCACTGAGATCAAAGGCGGACAGAGCACTTGGCAGGTGTCTGCTGATACACTGCAAGCTGCTTGTGATCTCCTTTGGGCCAAGGCTGTCGACATGAAGTCGCCCCTCAACTCATTCTCATCCGTCTCTCCTTCTGACCCTAAGAACTTTCCTTATCGATTGGCCGACGGTATGTTTTAATTTCAATCTCAACGAATCTCACTGATCGAGTTGCTTCTTAGGTACTCCGGCTGTTATCTCCACCGAAGCAAGTGCTTTATTAGCAGCTTCTGAAGGCGCACACATCACTGTGTGTCCTCTCTGTGAAGCAAGTGTCTCTGACATGTGCTGTCACGTTGGCATGCACATCTTGCGAGCTATGACGAATACACCCGAGAATATGAGTTTGAAGGAACCGGTACATTTTATTAAACTATATTAATGACATTGTTTTAATTAATCTAAGGTCGGTGCTGTGCTTCCATGCGGCTTCTGTGGTCATTCTGGAATGCCCCAATGCGCAATCACGATCACGGTGCAAGGGGATGCAGTGCCCGCCTGGGAAATGAAGTGCATCTACAAGCACATTTTCAGGTATGGGTCCGCTGTTATAGGGTCGAAGAACACACCGTCTCGCAACGTCCCCGTCAAATGTGAGTTATGTCACCCAACACTGCCTGGAAGGACCTCACGGAAGGTGCAGGCAATATCCGTTGACGCGGTTTGGCGGTATAATTTGACCGAGCATATCCTGACTGATCATGATGAGTATGTCGTCCCTGGGCATAGGGAGACCAGGGTCGCTTTACCGTCCGGAGTCTTAGCGACTATGGCATTTTTGGAGCTGGAGCAGAAGGCCACGCACGTTCCTAAGGAGCGCTGGCTGACATCATACGATCACACAGAGAAGGAGAATATCCCAGCATCTACATCACGTCCTTCCAAACGCCCTGCCTTGAATTCTGCCAACTCTATGCCTATCAAACGAGCTCATACATCTGTTCAAGTACTTCATACCTCAAGCACACTGGTAACTTAGTTGTTCTGTTCATTTTATCACCTTTTCTTGATCCGTTGATTGATCACTTCGTACAGCCTGAGCTTCTCTGATTTCATGTGTTTCAGTTGTCGTTTACATAGTACAGACCTCGCTTTTACTTTGCTTGTCGCGCTATCATGTTCTACTCAATCCACGCTATCATTTGCACATTTTCTCGTACTTTTGAACAACTTTTGCAACCAATGACATTGGTGATCAGCTTTGATCAAGCTTTGATTCTTCGTAAGGTTTGTATTACTAAGCTACCATATTTAGACTAATTAATGTGACGGTCACGGTGTTACAGGAGGGGGGGGCGTGTTCGAGATTACGCCACACATCAGGGATCCGAATATTTAAGACTGGTTTGAATGTCGTGCGAAATGTCAAGATAATACTTAATATTTAGGTTGTCGTCTTAGCGGATGTAAAATTTCAAATGTTAAAGAGGTCTTGCATGACAAGAGAAATATAAAGTATCAGCGAACATTTTCTTACTGTCTGAATGTCAATGACAACAAGAAATATAAATATATCTTTAATGCTGGCATAAACTTCGAAATGAAACTTCACATTTAAGACTCGAAAAAACTTCAATTTTAGCACGTGACTGAACATCTGCTCATGTATGAAGTTTAGACCGTCATTTAGACGGGCGTTAAAATTCAAAATACCCCCTGACAATAAAATGTGAAAATAAATCATCAAGTTTAATCTCTAGATAAAACCGATCGCCCGACGATCGCCCACTCACGGCTGAATCATCGCCCACTTACAACGTCATCGCCCACTTGAGTTTGAGATGCTAAATATTAGGGGACTAGACGATAAGTTATAGACACAAGCGATGCCTTTCGGTTAGAAACACGCGTTAACGATTAGGGGACTAGACGATGACTTATATATACAAGCGCGTTAATGCACTCTTATTCAAATGGTATAGTAGATGTACGTGAATCTATGTAGTAGAGTGAAATAGACAATCAATCCTGCATCACATAGTCAGATACCGGTGATTTCTCGAGGTGAATGAATGTACTTACAAAATCATTTCAACTTGTATACAGGCTAGTGCTAATTCTCTGTAAAAGCTGAGCAGGAGATTAGAGACGCACAAGTAACAACCAATTTATTCTTACCGCTTGCTTTGGTGGCAAGAAAACTGCAAGATGCTGCGTTGACGTTTTTCATCATTTTGCTGGTGCCCGCATTGAATTTGAGTGAGCCTTTCCACTGCGAGCCAGTCATTGGACCGTTAGCATCATTAGTGAATTTATGTCGCTCTCGTGAAACGCCCTGTCGAATGTTGCCCAGGCGTAACTGGAACCAGGATTCACATCGACTGGACCAGAACCCCACGTTTAGTCCTGAGGCAGCCCAGGCCTGGGGCCTGGGCCACCAGGAGACGATTTCAACATTCCTGTCGTCTAGATTATTCAAACATAAGCACCTCTGTCGTCGATGTAAATGAGAGAAACTCACTGGTATGCAGATAATACGTCCCGCACATGAAATCTATCTCCTCTTCTGACAGCTCATCATCGAAATAAGTCTGGCCATTAATGTCCAGCATGAGGCCAAACGGTACCGCTTCCCGTGAAATGCCATCGAGAACGGAGGGGAGAACATCAAACCCAAGACTATGTAAAGCCAGCCGCCATATGAGGCCACCATGAAGAAGTGCCGCTCTTGCGCGAGGCTGGTTCAGGAACTCGTGACGGTGCTGCTCGTACACGATGTAGTCAGCAAAAACTGGCCTAAAACGGGCGAGCCTGCGATCCTCGGGGGGGAAGACGTGTCCGAGCAAGTATGTGTGGAGTTCCGTAAGTGGGCGTCGAGCGTGAGGTGGAACTGAGATTGGCTGCAACGTCTTTATAGCGATTCCTTTTTCCATGAGGTTACACGCGATCTTGGTGATATCTGAGCCCCAGTCACGCCGGAGGCACATCACAGCCGTAATAGCGTCGGGAACCGCCAGTTTCCAGGGCACCAGATTTGACGACAGTGACTCGATGATGTAGAGCCGCTGATTGGGTTGTTGCACAAAGGAAACTCGAATGTGTGCGTTCGAGACTGACAGGGACGAGTCAGGTCCTAGATCCCAGAGATCGGGCGGGATGTCTGACAACTGAGTTTGAGGGAGGGTGACGAGGTAACCTATAAAACATGTGATGACATCCTTCTGTGCGTCTGGAATTGACGTGATATCCGTGGGGTTGTCGCCGACGAGTCTGCATAAGTGAGTCCACTGTGTCTTGCGAGCCCAATCATCGAATGTAGTCGATCTGCCTCAGGGTGTAGTGGTGGATGCTGCAAGGTGAAATCCGAGATGAAAATGCAAAATCGAGACAAATCGCTCAACACTACGAGTGTATTGCGTTGAGGGTGCAACCTCATAATGACCGAAGTAGGCTTCGATGTCTTTCAAGAAACTGGACAAGGGTGGTGGAGGGGCAGGGGGAGCAGGGGTGGGTTCAGAAGGAGCAGGCGCAGGCGCAGGCGGGAAATCATCTTCCTCCCAATCGCCATCGGGGATGCTGGTAAGATCCAATGCATCGCACAAATCCCACTCGTTACGGAACGAGTCATATACCCTGGTAGATTTGCTATATGACATCCAAGTCATTGGTATCTCAGCCTTTGTGAGACGGATGCGTTGACGAAAACCGCCAAAGTCGTCATTAGGTTGCCATTCAAACACCACAACTGTGCTGGATTTGCCGGGGATGCTGTGGTTCATGGCTGCCCGCTCACGACTCTGACGCGACTGCCGTTGAGCTGGTGTTTCCATCTCCTCTTTCCTCTGGTTCTCCTGACGGCGCCGCGCAAAGAATGCCTTGAAGTCTTCTCCTTGCTTCTGTCTAGAGTGGGGTTGGGAGACTGGGAACAGAGAGTCCGCATGTGCCTCGGGAACATCAGACACGGGCTGTGCCCCACTGTTCTGACCCCATCCAAGGACGCTATCGTCCCAGTTAAGGACACTCTGAGTGTTGTCCTCTGGTCGACCCCACGCACTATCATCCGGCTGACCCCACGCACTATCGTCCGGTTGACCCCAAGTGTCAGGCGTCTGCTTGCATTGGCACTGCCTCGGTCGCACGGGTGATAGCTGCCGGAGACGGGATATAATGACGCAAGGTAAAATCGACGGCGGCAGAAGTATCCCCAGAAACGCGGACCCAAATCGGAAGCGAGAATTTCTCAAACATGGGCAATTGAACTTGCCAAGGACAGTGAATGGAAGAGATCAAGGCTTCCCGTACGTGGCACGTTTGTCGTCAGATCTCCAACGAATGAGCGCGACAACTCAAGAACCCATTCAGCGGGTATGGGATGTTGGGGGTCGCTCGTTAAGATAGCCGTCCACTGATTGGCACCTTGGTATCGACGAGTCATGATGTACCACGAGCAGGTGGCAGCAATTACTGGAAATCCGTCAGGCATCACGAACGATGAATAAACTGGTTGACTTACATAGAAATGCATCGCGCGACCTTATTGCAATCTTTTTGGCAAGGTTAACGTCTGTATGCCACCGTTGGTACCCATAGGTAGTTGGAGGGCGTGGAAGTTTAGTCCCCCATGGAATCAATAGCCCAGCACCCAAATGTTCCTGGCACCAGAGCAGTTTCTGCTCTAAGTCGACCCATTTTGCCCGAATATCGCGGTGGAGAATGTGCCTTCCCGATGTATCTACCTCTGTGAGGAGGGAAAACCTGGAGTGGTTGAGGCATCCAAAGATCGGCCCATCGAAGCTAGGGTTCAAAGGTACAAGGGGAAACCACGGACGAGCTCCGTACGCCCAGCGAGTAGTGAGTGGCGTATTACTATCGTCGGGAGAACTATCGTAGTCTTCGCGAGGATCCCAAAGAGGCTCGTGAGGTATGACGTCGGGAAGGGAGTGTGCGGTGAGAGAGGTATAAACCTGCCCATCACGGACTGATGACATGGAGATTGTTATTCATGGAGGCGAGGAGACGCAAAGAGTACAGTCAAGACTACTACCGCAACAGTACAAACCTGTTACGTTAGAGATCAGAGACGTTGAGAATATCGCAGTCAAGACTACCGCAACAGTACAAACCGTTACGTTAGATGGAAGAAGGTAACGAAATGCGAGAAGTTGGGTGCATCTAATATAGACGTAGCGGAGTTTCAACAAACAATTACCATATCAGTGGCAGTGGCAGCAATACTAGGGGGTGTGGTCTGTGGATTGAGACAAGCGGAGTGTGGATTGAGACGGTGGTCTGTGTGGATTGAGACAAGCGGAGGAAAACAGAACAATGCCAGGACTGTGACTTGGGATGAGTGGAGAAAATTAAAAATTAAAATTAACAACAGAATTTTGACTATGTGGCTTGAGACGTGGTAAAGAACTTGAAGAGAAGTGGAGTTGGTCTCCAACCAGCTAATATTAGGGAGTGATGGATGGTACGTTGACGATGGTGATGGAGGCAGAGAACGCCGGGCAGCACGAGGAGGAAGGATGTCAAACCCATGGAAGACCAGCGAAAAGATTAAACCTATGATCAATAAGAGGAGAATAACGTCATGACGACTCACTTCATAGATCTGCAGCTTCTGCCCAAGTTGTTTCTGCGATAGGGGTGTCAAACCCATGATCAATATCGCGAAGGGCTGCCACGGACGTCGAACCAGGAAGCGATGGATGTTGACTTAGAGTTATTATTAATAATAGGACGTTGGCGGTGGCAATGAAAGTAGAGAACACCGGGCACGACCGTACATACAGTCATGCCCTGGAAGAAGGTGAGGAAGGGTCATTGTCGACAAGGAGAATGGGAGGCTCGACAGTACAAACCGTCGAACCTCCTAGAGTAATAGACTAAGTTCCATAGGACTTAGAACTTTGGCGACGAAAGCGCCCAACAATCACAAACACCCATATTAGGGAATTGTTACATAACATTGACTCAGTTTGAACTTTGTACTGTCGACTCTCTCGAGCTACTTCATCGTCCCCATCCTCGAAGCACGACAGTATGTACTGTCGTGCTCATCGAGTTCATCGTTCATCGTTCCTATCTTCGGAGCACGACGGTATGTACTGTTGTGTCTCCTATCCCATTACCACCCACCACCTCGCCAACTCCATCCTTTTTCGCGGAATGATCAAGCCATCAACTCCGGGTCATCCGCCTTCGCTTACTGCGATCCTTTAGATCACGCTGGCCCGTTAGTCAGGTAAGCCCATTTGTTGACAGATCCAACCATTAATCAACCAACATGTCCAGCCGTCAACACACGTCATCCCCTCCACCGTACATACAGTGGAGTGGGCAATGGCTAACTCGTTCTCGCTTATTGCGACCCCTTGGATCACGTTGGCCCCGTCTTCTACGTCAGGTAACCAAGTCGTTTGTTAAAATCCAACCCCATTGACCAACCGTTAAACGATCCAGCCGTTAAGATCTGTCATCCCCTCCAGCCGTTAAGATCTGTCATCCCCTCCACCGTACATACAGTGGAGGGGTAATTGACTCAGTCCATCTACCAATGCGGTGGAGGGCATAATGCAAAACTTATGTCTATGTTCAATGTGCTGCTACATGTACTGGACGGGAGATAGGTCCTTCGCCTCTTCATCTCCTTTCGCTGCTTGCGGGTAATCAGTATCGCGCTTGCCCCTATGGTCATCTTTGTCGATCTCTCCGTCCGCTTCTTGAGCTAGCTCCAGGATCTTTGCCGCTAATTCCCGGAGCATCACAATGTCATTTTTGATGTATCCTTCGGTCGGCCCTTCCTTGTCCTTCTGGATATCTACATACTCGTCAAATATCATGGCAGCTTGGACACGCTGTGAAAAGTCATCGGCCACATTAATCATTGTTGCCGAAGTCATGTACCCATGTACACGGTTCAGTGTGCTATCCTGAAGGTGCGTTAGTTAGATCCCTGCTGACCAACTGGCCCACTTACCAAAAAGCTGTCTCTATAATTTATCAGCAGGAAGACGCTCATAGATAGCAGTGCCAGTAGTCGTGTCAACATCACCAGTATGTGCGACAGGGACCAGTAATCCCCTGAGGGCGCCTTGGATACCTTCGGCACGGCAGTAGTCGTACACCCATATCTTGATTGTAGTTTTCCCGCGCCCTAGCACGGGCGAAGTGCTGGCAATTGTGCAGCGGCCATTGAGATCGTGTGCCTAAACCAGTTCAGTGACATTCTTTCTGACTAGTTTTAATACTTACGGATATTGTTTGCACAAGGCCAGTGTCCGCGTGGTGGAGGGTTTCAAGTGTCTCCCCTGTCTTCCGATCAAATATGTATACTAGCCCATGGTCCACTTCCTCCCACAACTACCTTGCCTTCTTCCCCAAATGCCACTTGCTTCGGGACCGATACACTTGGCAAACCAGTTGCAAACGTTCGAAGAGGCTCACCATCACCTTCAAGGCGATATAATGTAAAGCCGTCTGTTGCATTATCTACAACGAAAACGCCCCGCTTTGAGTACACCGCAGCATGACCACTATATAATATGTCAGTAACGCGCCCAGGTCGAGAGCGGTAGTTCCTCACATCACTGATTTGCAGCTAATTTCTTGCACTATGTCGCCATCTTCATCCTTCAGTTTCATGCTGTTCAGGCTCTCAGCATCAGGCAATGAAAGTATGCAGTGGAAGGACTGACAAGTTGCCATCATAGAGCCCGAACACATAGATGCTCCGGTTGTCTGCGAACACTACCAACTTGGGCACCGTATTTTCAAGTCGCACTGCGAAGACGGGCTGGAGCTGCGAGCTTGTGTTGAGCGTCAGAACCTGAACCATTTTGTCTCTAGTTCTGACTACAATTCGTAGGTTTCCTTCAGAGGAAGTTGAACGCCATGACAAGCATGTGATCTCAAATCCTGATCCCAGTCTCCTGGCGCATATTTCCTGGAATTTTTCCTGTTGGCGTCAATGGACAGTCGAACAGCAAACCTAGGCACTTACATCTGTGAGACTGCGTTGTAAACATACGATATAACCCAGGCCTGTTCCATAACAGAGGGTTTCTGCCGCGGTTTTCGTAGTCGTGGCCCAGATTGCGCAACTGACTGTTCCCCTTGATTCATGATGATTGGACGAAGATGTGAGTTCTTTCCGAGATTTGATATCCCAGATTTTGATTCCCTCGGTACCTGTTTGTTTGTTAGCCCTGTCTATGACCGAGTTTCTGCTTTCTTACCACCACATGCAAGCAGGTGTCCATCATTAGAAATCGCAAGTGCATGGATAGAGCCATTATAGGCAGTTAAACGAGCGAGCAGCTTGTAACGCAGTGGCTGCGCTGACTTGTTGAACAATGCAAGGAAAGACATTATGATATAATCCGCTGTAGTCGCCCGCTCACAATGTATTTATCTGTACTTCTCATTTGTTTTCAAATACTTTTGTATCATTACCGTATTTGTTTCCGTATTTGTTTGATTCCATGGTAACTTCATCGTCGACGCCATTTGTGTAGTGCTATTCTTCTTATTCTTCTCTTGAGATACGCTGATGCGGCCCTATTATTCTTATTCTTATTCTTTACAAGCGCTAATCTTGGTTACCATTTTCGAAGCCCCTTATTGTGCCCCTTATTGTTTTCGCTCAATATGGTAATCTGTTGAATACTTTACCTCTCATGAACCATCTTAAGTTCCATGCACCCCCATTCTCGAATGCCTTCACCCTCAGATTCCTCAGGCTCTTTGGATTCTTTCTCAGATAGCGACTCCTCAACTTCGAGCGTGAGTTTATCAGAAGACTCAAAGATTCCTAAACCTGCCGGTGAACCTGGGCGTCCGGGGCGTGGGGGTTACACACTTCATGAAGCTTTAGATTGGAATCCAAAGTCATACGCAAAATTCAAGGTTTGCAAATTGTCATTGTACCCTTGGTATTGCAAATTAACTGACAAATTCCTAAGAGGTCTATGCATAGTCTCATCGACAACCACCTTGACACGACAAAATGCGCGTCTGCCCAAAGTCCCATGCTATTGGAAGTCGTGCGTGGCAAGGTGAACAGTTTCTCTGAGTCTCGATATTGTCAATAAACTTATCATCTCAGGCGCTCGACAACTTCCCAGACCTTGACAATTATACCAACTTGTGGCCAGTCAACGATTTGATCATGACATGCCTGAAATACACGTCTGGACGCGCGAGACGAAAGGAGGGAGAAATGGCTGTAGGCAAGAGCAAGGCCAGGAAGTGATACCCCGACTGCATTATATGTCTCCGTCATTATTACGTGCTGTATGTGTTCTATATTAAGCTGGCGTTCCAAGAATCAAGCATGTTCAAGACAGGATGGATGGAATACCAGAAACGCCCAAGCAACGGAGATGTTTCGCGCATCCTTGGCTTAAAAATAACAGGTGTAGAAAGATTAGTAACCGTGAGTTTTACGCGCATCAGGAAGAGCGAAACTACATCATGCAAGTTGAGTTGTCTGCGAAGCTACCCAGAACCCGTCAGTATCAGTTCAAGCCGGTGCTTTCAAATGTTTAATCAAGATCAGAACGGATCTTGTTTGTATATCTGCAGTCCAGCTGAGAAATTTGGTATGTAACAATGCAAATTATACTACTACTCTACACCTTGCAGCTGACCGACAATTGGCACGAGTCCTCAAGGGTTTTACAAGAGTAAGATCGCGTGGGAGCCTAGCTCTTGGACGACTACTTATGCTTTGCGCAAAGCTGAAAAGATAGTTATGGTAGGCTCAATAGATCATTGAGTTTACTCACTGGTGAATTAAAAAATCAGCAAGCGCATTATCTCTGCCTCGCATGTTCACAACAGAGGGATAGTTGACTCCAACCCTCATAACAACTGCATCGCCTCGGAACTTATGACCACCCGTACTAAGAAGCACGTTGGCTCGGAGACGAAGATGTCGCTTGAAGAAGATGCAGAATCGATGGATGTATCTCCCTTCCCACACATTCACGAAACAGTTGTGAACATAAGGCTGCACTGCAGCCTCCTCAAGAAGGCTTTCCGGAACAGGAAAACGCTGAGCAGCGCGTGAGCGGCCAGAGCAACGCGTCAACATAGTGACCTGACGGGGTCTGGTCCACGATGCTGAATATAGCCTGCACCGCAGGTGAAGCTCCGGGGTCTGATTTGAAGGTAAATAAAGGGTGTGAGGTAGTAAGCGATAACTCACAGCAGATGTTGGAAGGATAAATGTGCGAGTGTTTACCATCTGATGATTATAATTCGATCAAGCAATAATCTAAGAGGTGGGCGATGAATGCGGGCGATGAAAGCGGGCGATGGAAGCAGGCTATAGCAGCAATCCGTCTTTTAATAACTTCACGTGCTGAGTCAAAAGACAATAACCATAATTGTTTCAGATGTAGTTGACGAAAAAAATAGCGGGGAGCCAAAAAAAATTATAGCGGGGAGCCAAACTGAAGCATTGCAATGATAATCCTAGTTGTCAAGGGTAATTGTTAATTGTGCGAGGTAATTGTAAGAGCGAATAGAGCAAAAGATAATTGAAAGCGATGGAGATGGGCCTGGACCTGTTGGAACTGTTGTTCATTCATACAACAAGACGTCTAGAAGAATCAAGACAAAAATGCATGCACAAAACTTAAAAAGACCCAGGAATGATGTTTGCAAACTAACGATGAATTATTCCCCCACTATAAGCGCCAATAACATTGACATCGACATGCAGCATCCTGAGTTTCAGCAAGAAGACGTACAAACGTCTCATGACGCAGATTTATTTGGTGACGATGAAGACGATGATAAGGGTCCTGGCGACTTCATGGATGTTCTCAGTCAGCCTCCCACCAGTGTACCGCAATTCGACATCAGTCAGCCTCCCACCAGTGTACCGCGACTCGAAAAGAGGGCCAGAGAGGAAGTGGTATGTAGATAGTACGAATCAGCTTCCATGACTCATGATACCCATCCAGATATCTGGGAAGCGTCGCATTCAGGAAGTCAACTATTCACAGGTACTTCGCCAGACTGTGTATGAACAACAAGAACGTATTAACAACATTATAGAGGAAACTGAAGTGGTACGCACGAGAAGCTCATTGGGGATACACTGCTGATCATACCGGCAGATACGCCGAGAAGCTCAAGACCACATTGAGGAGCAACGACGTCTTGCAGAAGAAGAGCATGAGCGCCACACATGCGATTTCAACGAGCGATGGGAAAAGGCTCTGAGAGAGCGAGAGCGGGAAAAGCAAGTAAGTGCAACAGATGTATTCAGTCAGATGCATGCTTACAAGTTAATAGGAAATTCACACATGGCAAGAGCAGCAGCAAGCACTGCTGAGGAAAAACGTTGCTGAAGAACTAGCACAGCATGAAGCAAAAATAAGTGCAAAAAAAGACCGAGAGGTGAGAAAGAACGACTGACCAAGGAATTACTAATGATGGCAAGTAGTTGGCTGAAGAACTGGCACGACACAACGCAGATTTAGATACAAGAAAAAATCAAGAGGTGGGGAAGAACGACTGAGCACGGGAATCGCTAATGATGTCAAGCAGCTAGAAGAACGCGAGAGAGCCATTTTTGCCGAAATGGAGCGAAGGCTACAACTAGAAATAGAAAAAATGAGGGTAGAAAAAGAGAACGAGCTCGCTAACATGGAGCAGCGCTTTGCAAGACACGGTAGGCAACAGCATGTGGCCACGGAAATCGGCACAGACCCCACCCGAAGGAACGCTCAACAGCCACCCCACACGCCCCAGAAACCACAGCTCAAGACTCCGTGCCTCGAGACGATCAAAAAGATCAGGAAGGCGCGTGGAACAACACGCAAGATGCGTCTGGTATCTGTAGTAGAGGTAAGTACTAAGCGGTCGGAACTCGTTTTAAACTCACATCATAGCAGGACGCTGACGAGCCTATGGAAACACATCGAGAATGATCATCGACAATTGAGCAAGAGCCACAGCGATTTCAGCCTGACGACGTCTACCCTATGTCTGCGATGGAAAATGCGATCTCCAAAGGCATAGAGGCGGCACTCAGACGCATCCTCATCGATAAGGATATTTTGACATCCAGGAAGCATAGTCCTCGAAGGAAAAAGAAGCAGGATGATGAAATTAGGATAGAAAGGGCCGCAGATTTGAGCCACAAAAGAGACTTCCTTCTTGTGAGAGTTGAATTTTTGACGTATATGCTGATGCTAAGCATGAAGTAGGGTGAAATCCGGCGTCTCCTCAAAGATACCTTCAGTATATCTCAAGACGCAGATTTTATTGTGCACCAGCCGGCGGATCGTGGAGATGTGTACTCATACGAGTACGAAGATGGCCCAGGCCCCAACACCCAGAATCTGGCCTTTGATCTCAAACACGGATTTAACACCCCCTGGAATGCGAAAATTCTCGATATTCTCCTTGAAGAATTGAAAAAGAGGAGTGTAGAAGAGGAGTGGCCGTTCCGGAGGTCGGATGCCTATTATAAGGCGATACTCGAAGAACGCTACAAGCGGATGCGGATGGTCTGGAGAGCAGCCCAACCAAAGGTTACAGCAAAGGGCTGCTTGGAGACTGCGGAAGAAGTGGAGGAGAGGTTGATTGCAAAAAGAGGTGAAAATCTGAAGTCAGTTCGTCAAACAACTCGTCGGCGAAATGTATGTCCGCAGCATGATCTCAAGGCTCTTCGGATACTAATGCGTCTATAGAAATATCTCCGCAGAGCAAAAGTCCTGGAGCAAGTTATTGAGCTGAAGAAAGATGGCGAGGACGACGACCTACCAGCTTGGCAGTGGCTTCAAAAACTAGTCAAGACGCTGGGAGACGGGGGTATGAGTTCAGAAGAAAGTGATATCGAAAACGACGTCGAATGTGTGCTCCGGGTCAAGAACATGGCATGGCGTCGCGGGATAGAGCGAGAACTGAATATCATCGATAATCAGAGGGTCTTGAATAATGATATTTTCGCGCCCCAGGGTTCCAAACCAATGAAGAGGATACGCGCATCGGGAAATTCAATGACTGTACGGAACCCGGTCACTGGATTACCCAAGGCCCTATACAATGGCAGATGGATTGATGGTCTTACTGGAGGTCAGGTAGAAAGGTTGAATGTGTCAGATGAGACATTCCGATGGATGAAAGTTGGTGTAGCATAGCAGCGTGTTGAATATACGGTGTACGTGAACCGCAGGGAACGGAAGATAAGTCAATTCCCCCTCCACTGTATGTACGGTGGAGGGGATGACATATGTTAACGGCTGGCTGGATCGTTGCGAGAGCGAGTTAGCCATTGCCCACTCCACTGTATGTACGGTGGAGGGGATGATGTGTGTTGATGGCTGGACATGTTGGTTGATTAATGGTTGGATCTGTCAACAAATGGGCTTACCTGACTAACGGGCCAGCGTGATCTAAAGGATCGCAGTAAGTGAAGGCGGATGACCCGGAGTTGATGGCTTGATCATTCTGCGAAAAAGGATGGAGTTGGCGAGGTGGTGGGTGGTAATGGGATAGGAGACACAACAGTACATACCGTCGTGCTCCGAAGATAGGAATGATGAACGATGAACTCGATGAGCACGACAGTACATACTGTCGTGCTTCGAGGATGGGGACGATGAAGTAGCTCGAGAGAGTCGACAGTACAAAGTTCAAACTGAGTCAATGTTATGTAACAATTCCCTAATATGGGTGTTTGTGATTGTTGGGCGCTTTCGTCGCCAAAGTTCTAAGTCCTATGGAACTTAGTCTATTACTCTAGGAGGTTCGACAGTTTGTACTGTCGAGCCTCCCATTCTCCTTGTCGACAACGACCCTTCCTCACCTTCTTCCAGGGCATGACTGTATGTACGGTCGTGCCCGGTGTTCTCTACTTTCATCGTCACCAGACGTCTCGTCGCAGCGACCTTTCACGACCTTCTCCAGGGCATGACTGTATGTACGGTCGTGCCCGTTCATCGCCACCGCCAACGTCCTAATTCTAAGTCAACATCCATCGCTTCCTGGTTCGACGTCCATGGCAGCCCTTCCCGCCCGGCGTTCTTTGCCAATGATCAGTCCACACCAAGCTCAGGTCCTCTCAGGTCACCGCCAGCTCTCCCTGACAACAGAGTTATATCCTTGTTTGGTAGTTCTTGTAATCAACGTCATATTTTCGTACAAGGCTTGCATCAGGAAATGTGCAGAGGAGCCTGGATGGCCTGGAGAGTCTGGCTCCAGGCTATCAGGCGACCAGATGCGAGCCTGGGTCCACATGAATCTGCCATGAACAGATTGGCATAACTGGCACCAGACCAGTACTAGATAGCTTACAGGTCCTTGACAGATGGCTTACAGATCACAACCAGGCGTGGACCAGACGTAATGAAAGACGAGAATTGATCACATTCATTAGCAAAAAATGTAGTATAATACTAGTAGTGTAGTAATACTATAGCACTGGAAAATCATTAGACCACTAAACTTGTGACTCGGTAAGAATCAGACTCACCAGGCTAAGAAATATCTTCGTCGTCGTCCGAGAGGGGAATGGCATTGCGAACATCCATGGAATCGTCATCCGAGGCAACATGAGCATGACGGACAAGAGAATCTTCACCTACAAGCTCCCACATCCCATCAACGATCTGATCCCACTTTTTGTGGGGGAGTTGAGCCGTCTGCAGGGAGTACTGCATAGCCACACTGCCCCATGCTGCATCGAACGAGACATTTTTCGTGGGCTGGGAAGGGAGACCGGCACGTTTCGCGTCCTTGGCAGCTTCTTTCGCAGAATCCCCATCCTTGTACAGAAATAGTGCGCGGTGTGCCTGTAAAATGGAGGTAAGTAGGACTTAACCAGCGACCAATGATTTGGGACTCACCGTAGCTGCGCAAACCCCCAATGCACCTGCAGGTTTCCCAAATGCCTGAAACGATGTTCCACAACGCCTCGCATGTGCCGCAAGTAACTCCAGGAGCACGGGAGCCAACCACGATCCTTTCAGTCCCTGCGGTGACACCGTGAGAACCAATACTAATGATTCTAAGTGACGCTGACATACCTCATGATCAGCGTAAATGAATGGCACATGTTTTTGACCATCAATTTTCTGAGGTAGGCGATCTTGGACAAATTTGATACGAGCGTGGTGTTGTCTCGATATTCTGCTTTTCGAAGTTTGCATTCGAGAATCTTGATGGCATTTTTCCCAAGCATACTCCACCACTCATTGAGCCAATCTGTTGCCTCAAAGTCGAAGTCACATCAGCATTCGAGGCACCCAAACTGACTAGTACACCGTGACTTACCACTTTTTTGATAGCAGGACACTTTGCGACATCGACCTTGTTGTGCGCGAAGAGAACATCCCACAGTTCCTGCAGCTTGCCTGAGACCTCTGGGTGTTCGTTCGTACCGAAGGGATCAGTAGTCGTCCCAGCCCAATCGATCAGTGCGCAGATCAATCGACCCCAGATCTCGTGGTCCTTCTTATCCACAAAAGGTAGGTCTTCGAGCTTTAACTTTTTGAGTGGCTTTGATTTATCTTCTGAGCGTCTTATTTCTTCCACCACAGCATCATCAGCTCCCTTTCGCGTCAACATCAAGCCCATCTGAATGCAACAGTTGTCAGTAAACACTCGTGTAAGCAGCAGTTGGGTACATTAGCAGTGACTCGCGCTGACTTCATTCCCGCGGTACCAGTTTTCTTCGGCAGTTTGGGGTTGCTGCCCTTATGCTTTCGAGTCGCAGCCAGTGACTCTGGTGTCTCATTGTGGTCAAACTCTCCATCTCCTTCAAATGGTGGTGTGGTCGCACGACTCATAGTGCTGTGTGATGATGCACCCGACATTGAACGGGAACATGTCTCCGAGGCTGCAGGTACGAGTTCTTCATCGGAAACTCTGATCGAATTGTACCTCACTGATTTTGTTGTCAACCCCACGATTTTCTTCCAGTCAGCTTGCAAGTTGCTTGAATGTGCACCCTTCGCACGTTTAGTCTGCAATGAACCACTAATTTATTGCTTGGTAAGTCGATCAAGACAAATTCAATGCTGGTACTGACCGTTCAGCTGTGTCAGGTTCCTGTGATTCAGTCTCCTTGCGCTTCCTCGCCATGGTTCCTGCTGTTGCTGTGGTCTTCCTTGCCTTCGTGATTTCTTCTCGTAAGAACCGTTTCTGAATAGGTAAGAGTCGTTCCGCATATATCAATTAAAATCATACTCACTTTCTCTTTTGACGCAGTGCGTTTCTTACCCTTCTGAGGCTTACGAACTCCTTCAACACTACTACCGTCGTCATCCTCCTCAGGCTCACCAACCTCGCTATCATCGCCAGTCTCTTCGGAATTCACCTTGGAGTTTTGGGACTCCGAGTCAGATGGCTGAGATGGCTGATAAGCTTCATCCGACTCTGGTTCCTCATCGTCACTGGCAGCTGTTTTGAATCAGGTAAGCTTTCTATCTCATGTTTGACTGACTTGGACAGCAACTTGACCTTTTGCAACAGAATAGTAACCCTTGGCCTTGTGAGTGGATGTGTCTGCCTGTGGGCGATAGGGTGGGGCATCTTTGCCGTAGTTGCGATCGTCTCTTTTCAGTGAGTCTTCCATCGCGGCTATGCGTTTGATGCCATCTTCATGTTCCTTCTCTGCTCTAGCTGCTTCTTCCCAGTTTTTTTCTGCTGCTGCTGCATCTTGGGCTCGCTTTTCTGCTGGTGTTCGGCGCTTGGTTTTACCCTCGAGTAGAACTTTGGCGGGGTGAGTATTTGCGTTTGAGCGACTTGGCCGAGCCATGACGAAGAAGAAGAGAAAGAGGTGAAGGGTTAAAGCTTGTTGGAGATGCGCTGTCAAAAAATTTCCAAGGTTTGTTTCCAGCAAACAAACTGTCTTACCTTAATATCTTGCGCCTGACTGGTCACTCAGGTCCCTCCCAATACCATTATGCTGAGCCGACTTGCATGTTCATTTGCAGGGTGTCCTGAAACCTTCATATCTCAACGCGGACGCACAAAGCACATTCGAACCTATCATGGTTCTGTTGATGCCGTTCCCAATCCAACCACTGCTGACTCAAACCCTCATTCCGACTCGGACCCCCAAGATTTCAATTTCAATTTCAATTTCGACCGTGACCTCATCAGTGACGACTGCGCTGATCACGACCCTCAGACAGAAGGTCACTCCAATCCACATCAATCACAGTACATACCTCACCCACATCTCCGTGGTAAGTCAAATACTATCACAAATAGACGAGTAAACTTGAACACTCTCTAGGTGATCCTTGTGACCTCGAAGGCAATCGTCTTCCTCCAAACGCCCCCAAGCCTGCTCGCTATGTAGGCCCTCAAGACAGCTGGGCGCCCTTTGGGGATCAAGCTGAATACTTACTCGCGGACTTCTTGTTCCGAAAAGAGGAGATGTCTGCCCCCAATATTGACTTTCTGATGGAGTTGTGGGCTTTCAAAGCGGCCAAGTACGAGGAGGACAGCCCTTTCAAATCTCACCGTGAAGTATACGCCACAATTGATGCAATCCGTGCGGGTGACGTGCCTTGGCAATGTTTCTCTGTATCACCACAACATGACCTTGACTCAGACGTGCCCCGGTGGCAACAGACTGAGTATCAAGTATGGTATCGAGATCCCGACGCCGTCATCCAGGCCATGCTGGCGAATCCCGACTTTGATGAGCAGTTTGATTACACCCCTTATGTTCATTATGACCAGTCAGGGAAGCGGCGGTGGAAGGATTTCATGTCAGGCAACTATGCGTGGCGCAAGGCGGTGAGTATTCCTACAATCTTCACAACTATCTCACTGACATTGGCACTTGCAGAACACAATATACGAGAATGACCCATCAACGGAAGGATCCATGTATGTCGGAGTCATCCTTGGATCCGACAAGACAACGGTATCCGTTGCCACGGGTCATGTTGAGTATCATCCATTATACTTGTCAATCGGAAACCCGCACAATTGTGTCAGGCGAGCACACCGTAATGCGGTCACTCCCATCGGGTTTCTTGCCATTCCAAAGGGTATGTGACATAGTACTATAAGGTGCCTTTTTGACGCTATTTTTCAGCTGATCGCAAATACGATAATGACGTGCAATTTCGAACCTTCAAGCGCCAGCTTTATCATTCGTCCCTGGCAGCCATCCTTAAGTCACTTGAAGGTCCAATGACGACGCCAATTGTCCGTCGATGCCCCGATGGACATTTTCGTCGAGTCATCTATGACTTGGCAGCTTTTATTGCCGACTATCCTGAACAAGTGATGCTTGCTGGAATCGTGCAAAATTGGTGTGCGAAGTAAGTGGCCTGCGGATTTGACTTGGATAGCTTTGTGACTTGGATAGCTTTGTTCGACTTACACTTGGTTACAGGTGCACTGCACTGCCTGAGGATCTCGATGGGAGCACTGCCGAGCGTCGTTCTCAAGAATATAATGATGTGCTAGTTGAAACTTTCAATTCGGAAGTGTTGTGGGATCAGTATGGGATAGACGACGACATTGTGGTAAGTCTTGTTGAACTTTGACATCTACATGCGTGTTTGATCAAATTGGGTCTTTAGCCCTTTACAAACGATTTTCCACGTGCGGACATACATGAAATGCTGTCACCAGACCTCCTTCATCAAGTTATCAAGGGATGCTTCAAGGATCATCTGGTTACTTGGACTGGCGAGTATCTGAAGGAAGTCCATGGCGAGGCACGTGCCAATGAGATCATCGATGATATAGATCACCGGTGCGTCATACTTCAAGTGTTGTACTGATCCTATTGACGTTGTCTTGCAGAATTGCTGCCACACCAGCATTCCCTGGCCTGCGAAGGTTTCCCGAAGGTCGCCGCTTCAAACAATGGACCGGGGATGACTCGAAAGCATTAATGAAGGTAAAAACTCATCATGTCTTACTGTGATCGAAATCTAAATCACTTGCACTTGTATTCTGACAGGTATACATCCCTGCAACTGTAGAGTATGTTCCTCCCCAGCTTGTCGCATGCCTCAGCGCATTCCTGCATTTTTGCTACCTCGTACGACGGTCCGAACTTGGAGAAGACTCTTTGGCCGAAATAAAACAGGCCCTACACCATTTTCACGAGGCCCGCGAGATTTTTCGCGACTCTAGGGTCAGGCCAAAGGGTTTCGCACTGCCACGTCAGCATTTGATGGTACACTACATCCATCTGATTCAAGAATTCGGTGCTCCAAATGGCCTATGCTCATCGATCACCGAGTCTCACCATATCACGGCAGTGAAGAAGCCGTGCCGTCGATCGAATCGGTATGAAGCCCTTGGGCAGATGCTGCTCACAAACCAGCGTCTGGACAAGCTCGCAGCTGCACGTGTTGACTTTGTGGCACGAGGACTTCTGCCAGCCTCACATGCTCCCCCACCCAGGCGCGGCCTTGACTTCGTGGACGAGGGTTTCGAGAATGGTGCACCGGACATTGAAAGAGTCCAAGGATCTGTTGTTTTGGCTCGCAGCCCTCGTACGTCGTTCTTCAGTATATCTGAATATAGCAATACTAATTACATCTACAACAGAACGTGGCTATCCTCGGACACTCGAGACACTCGCAGCTCATCTCCAGCAGCCCAACCTTCCTTTACTTGCTTGCGAGTTCCTTGCCAGCCAATTGAACCCTGAAGCAGCTCTGATCGACTGGAACGACTTACCACAGATCGACGGTCCAATTTCTGTGTTTCATTCTGCCGTGGCTACTTTCTCGGCACCCAGTGATGTCTCTGGGACTCACGGCATGCATCGCGAGTTAATTCGATGCACTCCGTCGTGGCGCCGTAAGCATCCACGATATGATTGTGTCTTCATCGTCGAGGACCAGGAAAAGGCTGGAATGAGGGGCATGATCATTGGCCGTGTTAAGCTTTTCTTTTCTTTTCTTTTTGAGGGTGTGACATACCCTTGTGTGTTGATTGACAGGTTTTCACGGATGGGGAGAGGCCCAGATTCAGTGACGGGCATGTGGAAGGTGAAGCCTGAGATTACTGGTGCACATGGAGCTCGTGTTCAGTCTGTGGAGCATGTTGATACCATTCTTCGAAGTGCTCATCTCATCCCTGTCTTTGGCAGCGGTCCCCTCCCCGATGGTTTTCATTTTGCTCATTCTCTTGATGTGTTTAATTCTTACTATGTAAATCAGTATGCAGATCATCATGCACATGAAATTGTGTTCTGAGTATACTTCATGGTATATCAGATCACAAAGAAGCACTATGTACAAGGAAATCATGTAGGGAATAGCTAGTAGATCTCAATGACTCGGAAAGTTTTCTCTAACTTCAGTTTGGCATGTGTGAGAAGGAAACATTCACCAGGTCGCCAGACCATCCAGGTCACCGCCAGGACGTCCAGGTACTCACCAGGTGCGCCCAGGCACCTGCACATTTCCTGATGTTACTGCTGTCTTGTTATTTCATTACTGGAAATTGCGAGTTGTTTCTTTTATCGTTGTTGTTCGTCTGACTCAAAAGCTTGCCTACGCAGTCGTTTCTTGCTCTCCAATTCACTCTTATCAATTCATAGAAACGACGGTACATACTGTCGTTGCTATTCGCCCCGTTCTTCATGCCTGTGTCTCGCTCACTGTTCAAACGGTGCTTCTGTGAGGAATGCATCGAAACCGGTGATCGTGCTGAGGATGGCACGCCTAAGGGGGTACTCATTGCAGAACGTCTTATGGCTGCACATTTACAACGCACCAAACGTACCAAAGCAGAATGTGCTGCCGCTGGCTCTCCCCGCACGAACGCCATCACGGATTTGTTAGTCTCACAGCTGGACACACTTGCTCTTATCGACAACAAACCGCCTGTTTCTCACCCCAACCCCACTCCACCATTATCTATTACGGCTCTCGCAGATGATCTTGAGCAACTCACTTTGCTAGATCATTTTGTTGCCCGTGAACCCAGAGTCGCTATTTCTGGCGACGTCTCCCAAAAGAACATACATCGGCCAACTGTGAAGGCCTTGACGGTCCTCGATAACATAGAGTTCCGCGTTCAGCGGTGCTTTCGGTTGTTACTTGCAGGTAATTCCAATGATGTTGATCGCGAGCTACTATTGCTTCGCACAGCTGTGGAGTCCGTCAAACGAAAAGCAGACATTGTGGTCACACGGAAGAGGGCAATTATGTTGGAGATAGATGGCTTAGAAGCTCAGTTCAAAAGTCAAAAGCCTCCGAAATGGACTTATGTGCAGCAGTCGAATTTGATACCAGTAAGAGTTGATTATCTTCATCGTGATCGTGTTCTGAATAGTCAATAGATGTTCACCATGATTTTCCGCTGGATCAGTGTGATGAAATCGCACAGGTCGCCTTATTCATCACTGTGACGTGTAAAGTCATCATGGGGGTCAGCAAGCGAGCCTGCGATTTCCTCTTGGGACTTATTTCAATCATGTTATTCCTCACTTTCCGGAGATTGGATGGTAGCCTCAGCTCTTCCCATCAAAATGTGCTCAGGCAAATTCCAAAGAGTTTCGACACCGTGCTCTCAAGATTCCATCTCACTGAGAAAACTGTCGTCTATGCAGTCTGCCCCAGTTGTCACTGCACTTACAGCCCACATCATGCAGACGGCTCAACTGTTCCTACATATCCTGAACGTTGCACACACCACCCCACGCCAGAGGCCGAATGTGGCGAGTCATTGCTCAGCCCTGGCCCTGTTGGAGTAGTGCGACCGAAGAAGACATTCGTTTACCACGATTTTAAAGACTACCTCGCCGGTCTCCTCTCCCGTGCAGATATATGAGGGGGCGATGGATCAAGCCTGCGACGATTTGCAAGACTCGATCAATTCCCCCCATCCGCCTTTGATGAAACACGCATTCGAGGCTCAGTTTCTCCGTCAATTTTGTGGCCCAGACCCAGGTTCACTTTTTATTGATAGAGGAGATGAAGGGCGCTATGCTTTCGCCCTTTTCGTGGACTTCTTCAATCCGGAGGGCATGAATTTGCGTGGTGCCAACAAATCCTCTGGCATCATCTCTATGGCATGCTTGAATCTACCATTGGATATCAGGTATAAGCCCGAAAACATGTATCTTGCAGGAATCATCCCAGGTCCGAAACAACCGTCCCTCGAGCATCTCAATCACTACATCCGGCCACTTATTGATGACATGGTAGACTCATGGGAGCGCGGCATCAATTTTTCCAAGACTGCTTGTTTTCCCACTGGCCGGCTCGCTCGCAGCGCTATTGTTTTGGCAGTTTGTGATCTTCCTGCCGCTCGTCATCTTGCTTCTTTAGCTGGAACCAGTAGCCATTTTTATTGTAGCGCGTGTAATTGCTACCATAAGACCACGTACGGTAGAGTGGACTTCGAAAGCTGGAAACCTCGTGATAAAGATGAACTCCGGAAGTTCGCTGAGCGGTGGAGGGACGCTGCGACAACCTCCGAACGAGAGAAACTATTCAAAGCTCACGGTGTGCGCTATTCAGAGATGTGGCGTTTGCCATACTGGGATCCCTCACACCAGCTTGTTGTCGACCCGATGCATTGTATATTGGAAGGTTTAGTCCAGCATCACTCTCGTACCCTTCTCGGTTTGACTACAGCAACCACTTCATCTTCATCGACTTTACCCCCTCCGGCCTTTTCATGCGACTTAGGCGATATGCCTCCGGGGATGACTTCGAAGGAAATGACTCAGGTCGCTGCTATACGCACCCTTCTTGTTTCCCAGTTGTCGTCCGATGACGAAAATCTGGATAACCTAAAAAATTCGCTGTTTCGCAAGAATACGGGACCTCTCAAGTTTGTTTGCGAGGCCTTGCGATGCGCTCCCCAGAAATCTAGTAGATTGTTCAAAATCGACTACGTCAAAGCTCTCGTGGAATGGGTAAGTTCTTAATATGTCTACTTTGTTGCGACTTTTTTATGTTTGTTCTCAGCGCTGTGGAAAACCTTTTGCTGCTCCTGAGAAGGAGCTTCAGCTTGGTTCTCTAGATGCCCTTCATCGTGTCCGAGATGTCATCCAACAAATAACCATTCCATCTTGGTTTACTTCAGTCCCAAGCGATTTCGGAAGCGCATCTGCTGGGATGATGAAAGCAGACGAATGGCGCTCTCTAATCACTGTCTACATTCCTATTGCCCTCATGAGCTTGTGGGGGGCCGGTACCTCGCATCCTTCCGATGAAGTCGGCACTCACCTTAGAGCTGTTCTCGACCATACTATGGAACTTGTTTGCGCGGTGTATCTCACGTGCGCCCGAACAACGACTGTAGAGAGAGCACACGCGTATCGCTCTCACATTGCGCTTTATGTTGGAAATTTGAAGAAGATATACCCTAACATCGCTCTGCGTCCAAATCACCACGCTGCCTTCCACATATACGACTTTCTACTCCTATTTGGCCCGGCCCACTCTTGGTGGTGCTTTCCTTTCGAACGTTTGATTGGAATACTTCAGCGTCTTCCAGTAAACCATAAGACTGGTGAGTTTTTACGGAACACCAGTGTAATAGCAGGACTGACTTTTCAAGGCGAGTCGGAAACTACCATGTTATACTCATTCATCAAAACTTCAAAACTTCACCGTTGGCTCAGTCGACCTGACTGTTCGCCGGCTATTCAAGAGTGCAAATTTCTGTTTGACAGCACGTATGCTCCCAAGAGCGCTGGAACTCTCGGTGAAGAACTTGCTGAAGATCCTTTGGATGACAGTTTACAGGCTCCTTCCTCCGCTGTAGCTGTGGCTGTTCCTGAAGCCTTGTTTGCGCTTATCAAACGACGCACAGCAATATTATGCGCACGACTAAAATTCAACGGGATTGTCTATAGCAGAGCCTCTACTCACGTCGGGAATAGTCAAGTTTTTTATTATTCTCAGGGTGACCGGTTATCGTCCCCTGTCCCCAGCAGTATCCAACATATCTATGCTACACCCACGGGTGAACTGGTGTTTGCTGTCCACAAGCTCCTCCCGCGTCATGATCAGTCCATTGATCCATTTGCTATGTATCCTCATTTTCCCGCCAAAATGTACTCATCAAGCTCAAGTAGTCATTTGGAAAATGTCAAGGTATCCTGGGTTGTTAGTCACTTTGCTCGATGGGCAGTTTCGAGTGATACTGTAGTCATACTATCTCTATCTCGTGTAAGTACAATTCACCTCGAGAAATCACCGGTGTCTAACTACTGTCAAACAGGATTGATTTTCAATTTCACTCTACTACATAGTTTTGCGTACATTTACAATATATAAGCTGTCCACCCCGTCATTTGAATAAGAGTGCGTTAACACGTGTTTCTAACCGAAAGGCATCAAGCGGCTTGTGTCTATAACTTATCGTCTAGTTCCCCTAATATTTAGCATCTCAAACTCAAGTGGGCGATGACGTTGTAAGTGGGCGATGATTCAGCCATGAGTGGGCGATCGGTTTTATCTAGAGATAAAACTTGATGATTTATTTTCACATTTTATTGTCAGGGGGTATTTTGAATTTTAACGCCCGTCTAAATGACGGTCTAAACTTCATACATGAGCAGATGTTCAGTCACGTGCTAAAATTGAAGTTTTTTCGAGTCTTAAATGTGAAGTTTCATTTCGAAGTTTATGCCAGCATTAAAGATATATTTATATTTCTTGTTGTCATTGACATTCAGACAGTAAGAAAATGTTCGCTGATACTTTATATTTCTCTTGTCATGCAAGACCTCTTTAACATTTGAAATTTTACATCTGCTAAGACGACAACCTAAATATTAAGTATTATCTTGACATTTCGCACGACATTCAAACCAGTCTTAAATATTCGGATCCCCGATGTGCCAGCTTAGTGTTCTAGATTCTTAATTCCCACACCTCTTGGGGGGACCTTCCTGCGAACCCTGAGTCACTGTACGGCAATATGCAGTGCCACATACCCCATTTGGGTTTTGCTGATGAAAGTGACCGTTGTCGAGAGATACAGTTCAAGTTCTCTGGACCTGCATGGGCGAGTTTTGGCTTGCACGGTTAATCCAAGATACAATAAACAGGAAAGCAAAGTAGCATAGTAATGGAGGAAGACTATGAAAACGCAATTGATTCGGGCTTTACAAATGTTCAGCGGTATGTCGGGGAGTAGTAAATGAAGCAGAACAGAATAAATGAAGTTGTAATGAAGCATCGCAACAAGGCAAATATGTATCGTACGAAATTCGTGTAGAATGTTCATCGTCAGTCAATCAACAAAGCACATGCCCATGGCGTGACCCAACAGATATCTATCACAAAGATGATGCTGTCTCCTGAGTTCGACACTTGTGCCACGATGTGCCATGCGCGACACAACTCAAATCCAGCTGTAGGGCGTTGGTGGGTATGACCAACATGTTGCCCTGGGCGAACGTCGCCGGGTGGAAAGTGGGTGGGATCCATAGAAGAAGGCGTCCTTCGGGACCTACAACCCATCCCTCCTTGTTCGGACCGGAAGGAGCTGGGGCTTCAGAATCTGAGAGAAAGGACGAGGCGGAATGAAGGGCATGAGATGGGTCAGGTGAGAAGCATATTGCGGATGTGAAGACTTGGTGCCGGTTAAGAAATTCTAGGTCCCACACCCGGATGGTCTTGTCTTGTGAACCAGACACGATGTGTTTGCAATCAGGTGAAATTGCGACAGACATAATATAATCAGTGTGCCCTCGGAAAGGGGCACCCACTGCCTCACCAGTCTTCATATCCCACACACGGATCATCTTGTCATCTGAGCCGGACACAATGTATTGGCCATTTTGCGAGATTGCGACAGAGCGAACCCAGTCAGTGTGCCCTTCGAGAGATGCCAAGGCCTTGCCAGTCTCCATATCCCACACCCGGACAGTCTTGTCACCTGAACCCGACACGACACATTTCGCATCCGGCGACACCGCGACAGACAGAACTCCACCAGTGTGCCCTCGGAAAGAGGCACCCAATAATTTTGCAGTCTCTGCATTACATATCCTGATTGTACCGCCACCTGAACCAGACACGATAGAGCTTCCATCCGGCGAGATTGCGACAGACACAATGTCAGAGGGTTTTTCAATTTGGAGAGGAGTACATAATGCTTTGCCGGACTCCGCTGCATTGTACACCTGAATCATGCCAAATGAACCAGACACAATGCGGGTCCCATCCAATGAGATTGCGACGGAGTTAACAGGAGTGGTGGTGTGCCCTTGGAGAGGCGCACTCAATGCCTTGCCAGTCCCCATGTCCCACACCCAGATGGTCGTGTCTTGTGAACCAGACACGATCTGCTTGCCATCGGGCGAGATTGCGACAGACAGAACGGAGTCAGTGTGCCCTTGGAGAGAGGCAACCAATGCCTCGCCAGTCGCCATGTCCCACACCCGAACTGTCCGATCATCTGAACCGGACACAATGCACTTCCCATTTGGCGAGATTGCAATAGAATTAATGGAGTCAGCGTGGTTTTGGAGGGCAGAAACCGATGCCTTGCCCACAATAGTGTCGGCACCCCACACCCGAATCGTGTTGTCTCTTGAACCAGAGACTATGCGGTTTCCATCCTGCGAGATGGCAACAGACAGAACACTGTTGGTGTGGCCTTGAAGAGGGGATCCTAATGCCTCGCCAGTCTTCAAATCCCACACTCGGATCGTCTGGTCATATGAACCGGACACAATGCAGTTTCCGTCCGATGAGATTGTGACTGACAGAACGGACTCAGCGTGCCCTCGGAAAGGGGCACCTAATGCCTCGCCAGTTTCCATATACCACACCCGGATCGTCTTGTCGTGCGAACCGGACACGATATATTTCCCATTCTGAGAAATTGCGACCGACTGAACGTAGTCGGTATGCCCTTCAAGAGGGTGACCAAATGCCTCGCCAGTCTCCATATCCCACACCCTGACTGTCTTGTCATTCGAGCCGGACACGATGCGTTTCCCATCCTGCGAAATTGCGACCGAGTGAACATAGCCAGTGTGCCCTCTGAGAGGGTGACCAAATGCTTCGCCAGTCTTCATATCCCACACCCGGATTGTCTTGTCTTCAGAACCAGATATGATTTTATTTCCGTTCGACGAGATTGCAATAGATGTAACAGAGTCAGTGTGGCCTATGAGAGGGGAACCCAAGGCCTTTCCTGTCACGGCATCCCACACCCGGACTGTACGGTCCCATGAACCTGACACGATGTGCTTTCCATCCGGCGAGAATGCGACCGACATCACGGTGCTAGTGTGGCCTCGGAGAGGGGTACACAATGCCTCGCCAGTCTCCATATCCCACACCTGGATGGTATTGTCGTATAAACCACATGCGATGCGTTTTCCGTCTGGCGACATTGCAACTGAGCAAACCTTGGCATTCACGTGGAGTATCTTTTCGATCTGAGGCCAATTTGCGACATGGCCAGCAACAACGCGAGGGGTGTGAGGAAACTTTGCAGCAAACTTGCGGAATATTCTCGACTGCGTAGGAGCGAACGGCAGGGCGGACAAGTATAAATGAGGAGTGCTGCGTAAAATGGTGGGTGCGAAGGTTCGAACGAAGCGAAGCGTGTCCCTGGTAGCATCACTGATATTCATGCACTCGGCATGACCCTATGACCACCCCACTACTCGTCAGCATCTATTGGGCTAAGAATATGCTCAAGACACGCACCGTGACCCAATCTGCGATAGACAAGAGTGAGTCTACTGAGCCGCGGAGACTTTTCATCAGAGCCAGTGCTTCCAACCACCAAAGGAGGCGCTCTCCATCGAAGAAAGCTTCAACTTCCTTAGCGAGCGATGATTCAAAGGACGAAGCGCCGATGTGAGTCCCCCAGAATCGACATGAGTATGATAGCTCGGCCGCAATGGATTTTTTTGTTCGTTTCTCCAAGTCAGGGACGGAAGAGTTGGGCAAGTATGAATTCTCCAAGGAGCAGATGTTAAAGCGAAGTCCGTGCTTCGAGTCCATGACCCGAAGCGAGGCAAAGGCAAGATCACTTTGTACCGCCGATACATCAACGAAGAAGTCATGGCTCCGCGATGTGTCTGTGAGGAAATCGTAGAAGGACGCGTGGAGAGGACGAATGGGAGAATCAGAATCCGTGATGCCGGTCAACAGAGAGCCCAATGGCCTAATGACCCGGTCTACTTTGTAATGGTTGCATCCATCAGGAAAGTGCAGTCGCATAGCCTCTAACGCAGGCATGGGAAGTGGTTCCAACGAGGAAAGGATTTGCCCCATCACTGAGCGAAACACGGGGATGGATTCCTCACGTGCGTCCATCGGCATGATTGCTGCTAAGATGCGCGCATACATGTCATCCAACAGGCGTGTTCCTTTTTGAGATGTGCCAGCAACCAAAGCATCGAAGCGACCTATCGGATCCAGGCCAATGCTGTTCATATCATTGATATACTCGCAAGCGAGACGGGCCCATTCAAACAGGCCGTCTGATTTCTCAGCAAGTGTCTGGAAGTGCGTATGGTCGAAGTTGCGCAGGTCCACGAGCTTGGTGGAGACGTATAATTGGATGTCACTGTGTGTGGACGCAGGAGGGATATCATCCATGGAGACATGGCGGACATGTGATGCATCTAGGGCCTCGCGAATATCTTGGAGTGGACGGGAAGTGACGATGATACGGACATTTGCTGGTAAGTTAGTGGGCTGGGAGGAAGGAGTGTCCGCCTTTCCGGACAGCAGACGAAGGATTTGTTCCCGGGATTTGGGGTCGCCACTCTCGTCCAACGCATCGATAATGATCACTGCGGGCGCAGTGATTGCTTTCGAAGCCTCGCCGATCGGTCCTACGACTAACTCCTGCCATTGTCTGGAGATGTCAATCGTGTGTTTGAGCTCGATGTCATCATGAACCGCACGCGCTAATGCCCCCCGCATGGTAATATCACAATCAGCCAAGTTGCGTGCGATTGTGGTGAATATCTTTTCGTGGCGGCGTTCGGCTTCCCTTGTGCGGTCAAAACAGAAACAAGCCCGCATGCCCCCACGCTCATGAGACCAGTTGGCAATGGTATGCGCGATGGCTGATTTTCCTTTCCCCGCAGTGCCAGACAACCATAGGACCTGCTGCACGTCTTCTCCCGTGCTACGGATCCAGCACTTGACCTCCGACAAAATGGCCTCCCGAGTGCCTGGAAGACAATTCTTGGAGGTATTCCGTCCAGCACCAGGCACATATTCCATGCCGCTAACGTCCAGGTCCTCGGCTAAATCATTGGTATCAAATGTCAGAGAGGCCTCAGAAAGAACGGAAAGGCATTCTTACCGATACGGTGGACAGTCTCGACGGTGGTGAGAGCCATTTGATCTCGTAATTGTTGCATGAGATTGTCGAGAACATTGTTGTAGCTTTGGATCGCGGCCTCTGTTTGTTTCAAGACGTGCTTGCCAAGTCTTCGCCCTATACAGAGAGATTGAGTCTTGGGCGACGATGCAGTGGGAACGACTCACAGAAATTCGTCATCTCCGAGTAATGTACGATGAAATCGGCACACTCGAGCGTCTGTCGTGCAATCTTTCCACATATCTCTAGCATAGACGCAATCCTAGCCAATCCATCTCGTTCCGTTAATAAAGTATAGACGGCTGAGATCTTCGTGAGGAGACTAAGAACAGCATCATCGCGGTTTGCCTGATCGAGAATCATCTGTCGCCAAAACTTTGTTAACGTGTGAAGGCGATGATATTGAAACAAGCTGACCTTGGACGAGCAAGTCAAGATACTCAATGCTACCTTCACGTAGGGATGTACCTACATACATATGAAAGTTAGTCACGTACGAAACAAAGATATATGCCCATACGTCGGCAATCCCGTTTGCAATGGAGTTGAACGCCTTCAAGGGTTCAAGCAACGCAGAGGATTTGTAGATCGTATCGGAAACAGATTGTAAGTTGTCGGGTGCTGAAGAAGCATTTTGGATAATTGGTGGGACAAGGCCGATACCTGTGAGACCTTTGGCGGCGCTAGTGATTCTTTCGTTCACAAACTTCGGTTCGAGATGTTCAGCCTGATTGTAGATGTTAGGACAATATCAAAAGAATATTCCCAACAACGTTGGTTGAACTTACTTCTGCAGTCCTTGGATTCGGAGACAACTCAATATTCGGCTCGGGAGTGGGAGTGATGTGTGGTGAAGGATCCTACAGTAGCAATCATCGCACACGGATATGCACAGAGTTGAGATTATACATACCTGGGTTATCTGAGTAGGTGGGATATGTTGTGTGCTGGAGGTCGCAGCGGTGGTTTGAGGGTTGGGAGACTGTCGAGCGCTTCGTTGGAAGGGGTTGGGCACCTTGGCAAAGAACTTGCGAAATCTCCCCGGGGATCGTCCGCGAATTTCATTCCTCGAGGGCGGGAGAGGGGACGACTGTAACGATTAGAAACAATACATGGTTGTGAATACGAAAGTACACACACTATTGACTGGCTCCCTGGCTCTTTCCTCTGCCAGATGAGGGTCTGAACGACTTTTCTTCAGCCGCCAGAGTTTCTTCCGACGAATATTGTCTTCATGAGTCATCGAGGAACGAGGAAGGACAGGTGAGGATGAGCCTTATGAGGTTTCTTTGTGTAAAAGGAACGAGGAAGGCACGCAGAATGGAGTCAATGGACGGGCGGGCTGCCGCATGTTCGCACAGAGGATATTTATATAAACGACGAACTACTGAGACACCCATGGGGACTTCAAGTTCGCAGACACGTTGCTTATGTAATCGAGAAACTTTGAGGCCAGCGAACCGTTCAGCGCTCACTGGTAGTGGTTACGTATTTTTCTCTGTTCCACGAGTTAACTCGACACAACACTCACCAGTATCATTGCAGCTGGTGTCATTTTTTGCTAAGTACAATTCCTTCGTAAATGCATCAATACACATTTTGAATTGTCAACAGTATGCCCGTTGGCTATGGATCATGCGAGGATCTGCGGTGTCTCGGTGATCCTCCGCCGGACGCCCGAGAAGGTAAACGAGCAAGACGAGCCCATTCAACTGGACGATTGCGGAATATTTCAGACGTGGCTGCAGTATCATAGTATATCATCGTCGATAGGAAACTCGAAACATTGTACGGGTATCGGTATTCTCCTGACTCGATGTGTTCCTATGAGTTAGTTCCCGGCGACATACCCAGTTGAAACATGAACAAGAAAGTACATGGTATGACCAATTGTACACTGTACAAGTGGCGGTGGTAGCCTGGTATGCCTGGGATCGCGCTAGCCATAACCGCGAAAGTAGGGTGAGCATGTTCAAATAGTACTGGGGAAGGTGAGAGCGCGAACCATGAGACGTGGCAATACCTGTAAATCAAATGCCGAGAGATTGAAGATGGCCTGACCGATTCATCAGCCATAAGTTTGGGTGTGGTGAGAGCGTTTATGGCCACGAGCACGATTGTATTGCTGTTCCAAAGCGCATACTTTCTGAGGATGAACTGAATAAATTGGATCAGGAGCACGTACGTGTCACGGGAGAAGGAGAGATACATTCAGAGCAAGTCAGGGATATCACTCCGAGACCTGTGTGAGGGAAGAGCGGCGCTTGGTAAGGACGTGCATGCAGCATGTACCGTGCACGTACATGAGTAAATAGAAAGCAATATCCTGCATTGCAAACGAAGGCATTCAGTAAGTGTCGTTGGCTGGCAGTGGGTAGGTCCACTACACATTCACATACATTGGGGTTCTCGTTCGGGGCGACGTTCACTGAAATACAGCATGTCAATTCATACTTTGGTATGGCGCGACCGAAACACGGATGTCTACTTTAAATAGCATAACATCGATGTCAAAACCGAGTATCACAGAACAGGTGCATGACAAACCTACCAAGAATGTAGCCAGAGCCGCTGAACTGACAAGTGAGGACGAAGAAGAAGCAAATACCGACCGTACGCACTGTATAGATACTGGTGGCAGCACATGGTATATCTATAATGAACTCGCCCTCGTATTAGTAAACAACGCACCCCTAAGTATCGCAAACTCGTGGCTGCTGCGACGTCGTCAGCTGAATATTCCATTTGTTCGAGCACCTCGGGTAATCTGTCGTCCATAAGCAGTGTACCTCGGAATTCCGTTATATTACTCACTAACACTAGTTACCCATCAGAAGAACACTCCAGCGCGTGCTCCATGTTCTAAAAACATAAATGCTGGTGCTACCATTGTAGGAGCTTTATGGCATGTGCGAGGGTTGATCGTAGAGCAGAAACTATTTCGGATTGTATCTGGGTGGGAAAATGAGAGATGAAGCTTGCAGTCGGGATGAGAAACACCCCTTGACTTTGAGAGAGGTTCAGGACAATATTCTGAACGCTGTGACGCCGATGGACGAACAACCCATGAGTTCGTGGCAGTTGCCGCAGCAGTATTTGCAAGGTCCCGGCACCAGTACTTGTTTTCCAACCTGGCAAAGCACTCGAGCACGATGGATTTTATAGCAACCGATGCGTATATCCGGCATTTCTGGCAAAGTCACGCAGTAAGCGACATTTGTCAGTGAGTAGGTCTGCTGCACGTCCACATACCGTGGGGGTCTCGTTCGAGCTGAAGGTCACTGAAGCACAATATGTCAGTCCATTATCGGGATGAGATGAACGCACAGTATAGTGGGTTCTTGGAGATGAGAAAAAGGGGGACATGTCGTATAACAATAAAAAGGCTTTTTATCTTTGTTCAGCGCAACCGAAGCAGGATTTTTTACTATAAACAATGTATTAGCATCCATATCAAAGCCAAGGCGTATCACGGCACAGGTGGATCACCTCTTCAAGTTCGTGGACTGAATAAGCATAATCATATCTGGATAATCGAATTTAACGGCGGACGGGAATAGATAGGGACAAGCCTACCCAGAATGTAGCCAGAAACGCCAAGCTGTCAAGTTACAATAAGAAAGAGAAGCGGTTCAGACAATACGCACTGGTAATGTATGTCATATGGTACCAGGTCTGCTTGCATGACAATATCGAAATTGCTCATCCTGAGTGATTCGTCGATGGCACACCAGTGGGTAGGTTGACATCCGAAACAGGACACTTTTTTCGGTGAATCATAGACAGGCGAGGGCGTAAACATAGACTGGTGAAAAGAAAATAACATATTTGACACCAGACGGAAAGAAAGTACATTGAAGTCTAATAATAGCCTCACTCTCTTGACCAATTGCAACCATTGATCACGCCGAAATTTTCACCGACTGCAAGTGCAACTTCAACCAGACACACCTTTCGTCCACAATAAAAACATCTCAATCTTGGAAGGTATTTTAACAAGGCTCATATGCCTATGTGAAAATCCCGATCGCCCGATTCATCTTACATCCATGATATCTACTACCCGCTGAGCAGTTGATGATGATAACCCGGTCTTCCTCCGTCATACATTCTACGTGCGTCCCCTTCTTCTTCTCCTCCTTCCCCAAGCTCACATCTACAAACGAACTCACATCCCCGCTCCCATCATCTCCCACCCCACCATCCATGCACCCATACCTCCCTAGACCCCCATTTCCGCTCCGGGGTATACCTAGGCCCGGCATGTCCTACCTCGTGCTCAGTATGATGCCTGCAAAGCTCCTCCCGCTGATGGAGCTGTTTGGGTACAAGGGCGATAGGAAGTTTGGATCAGAGTTGTTGGAGAGGGCTGGGGGGTGAGGTGCAAATGGGCGGGTGGTCGAGAGAGGTGAGTGGTCGTGTTTTGTATTATGGTTCTTCAAATAGCGTTTTCGAATTGTTAGATGGAGCCCATAATGTCTGTACAAAGTCCAAAACGCTAACATGAATTTAACAGACGCAGAAGGCGTCCGACGTGCGATCTGTGATATGTCACTACTTATATTCCACCTTGTTCTCTCTGCGTTTACATTTGAAGGAGTGGATGTGCGTAAGGCTGCGAGGGTGTTGGAGTGGAATTTGAAGAGGTATCCGAATGGTGCGTGTGTATTTTGTGTTGTTTCGCTGCGTTGTCTGATGTACCTTCGCTGCTTCACTCTCTCGCTCCACCAATACTAAAACAGGCGTCTTCTTCCTGTTCGGTGCAGGCCGTCTCGCCCTCGTCCGTTCCCAACCCTCAAAAGCCCTCGCCTACTACGCACGCGCTGCACAAGCTCAGATACAGTACAGGAATTTGCACCATATTTCGTGGTTGGAGAGTGCCGTTGCTTGTTTGGGGCTTTGGAGGTACGTTTCAGCTCTGTGTTTTTCGCTCGTTTTGTGCTGTGCGGGGTTTGGTTTTTGTGTAGGTATATGCGTGCGTTTCAAGGATACTGATGGGTTGTTTTATGCAGAGTCGCGGAAAGCAGGTCGTGGTGGGGGAAGCTTGGATGAGTGGCTACGGTGAGCTTCCCTGCCCTTCTTTTGGTTTGTTTTCGCTTATAATCGTCTTCTCTGTCCGCCAATCTTTCCCCTCTATCTCTCGATCTCTTTCTGCCCAATTCCTTGACCTCTCTACTCCCCATCCCTCAATCACGTATTGTCATCTCGGTGTATCAAGTGGTCTAAAGCAATATACACATACGGCGAGGCAGCATGCCTAGCCACGCTCGGCGAGCACGCACAAGCGAAGAAGCTGATGGAGCGTGTCCAAGGGCTGAGGCAGAAAATCGCAGGGAAGAGTATTCCTGTCGAGGTGTGTTATTCGTTTTCATTTACTTGCTTCCTGCATGCTTTCCCCCTCCCTTCCATCCCTCTACCCATCCCCAAACCAACCTCCAACCCATCCAAAAACCCAACGCTAACCAAACACACAGAAATTCGTCGCCCGCAAAGCCCGTAGATACCTGTCCCAATCCGACAAACTTCTTCTCCCAGCCCTAGAGCTCGCCTACGTATTCCACGCGATCGCCCATGCGCCTAGGGAGGTTATTGCGAGGGAGATCATTCCTGCTGTTGGTGGTGCTTTGGGAGAGTTGGGGTTGGTGCTTTCGTCGCAAGGGAGTGAAAGTGGTGGTGGTGGGGTGGGTAGTGGGAAGGCGAGTGGGGTTAAGAAAGGAAATGATAAGAAGCTGGAGTCGCGCAGTGGGTATTGGGATGATGTCTGTCTTGCACGGTTTTTGGAGGGCGGGTGTTGGCGGTTTGTGGCATATCCGGTGCGTGTGTGTTTTTTGTGTCGGGCTTTTTCGTTGGGATTAGCGTGTTTGGGCATTGGCTCTTTCTTGCTCAGGAGGTCCTGATGATCTCGAGGATCGTTTTCGTGAGGGGTAACAAGTTCCCTGCCCGTCATTTCGTCTTCCAACAATTCTTCACGACCATTAAATACTCTCACTGACGCACGTCCATCTAGGACCCGGACGCTGAGCTCGAGCCTGACGGAAAAATCTCGTTCTCACCGGAGGACGCGCGCGCGTACTCGGAAGGTGCATTCCGTGCTGTCTTCAAGCACGGACCTAACATCAATTTGGACCACTATATCGTGTATTTTGCGTGTGAGTGTGTTTTGCTCCATCGTTCATTCAGAATTTGCCGACTTTCTGATTTGCTTTTTTCTTAGATTTTGAGTACGGAAGATTGCTAGCGAGATCAGGCGACCAGGACGGTGCAAGGACTCAGTTTAACCTTGTGATTTCTGGAAAGCCGCTTGAGGTGAACGCTGCTGGGCGAAAGGTACGTCGAGTGACTGCTGCTTTGGATTCGTCAATATTTCTCCGTCTCATCACTGTTGGATGTCTCATTTTCAGAGTAAATACAGTTTAGAGGTACGAAACGTGTCCTAGAGCAGAACGAACGAAGACTGACTTGATTGTTGCAGAACGCACTTCACATAAGGACGAATGCAGCGTTAGAAGCATTAGATCAGAACCGCCTGTTGTGATACCCGTGCATACTGACGGACCCAGTTTCACGTCATATCTATTCGTATATCTATCGATACGTGCTGTCTTTCTGTCTATCCGCGCGTGGTGGTTTTGCTTACTTGCAATTGGGTGATACCTGCATACCTACATACATATCGTTGGTTTGGACCTGGGGGGGCTTATGGGAGTTGCGTCTAGATATCTGGCTGAGCTGGACGATCCTGATGCATATGGATGTTTTACGAGTTGACATAGTATACTCAGGGAGACCTTGTGCTGTCGGTCAAATATCATAGGGACATTTTGAATCCTATGGTCCAATTTGAATCTTCCGCATCTTGTCTGATTCTATGAAACATTGATCAAACGTGACAGACATGCCATCGGACGCCTTTCCTCCTACTGGTATGTGTGATAAATGTTATGTCACATTGTGCCGACTCATTTCATACCCACAGGCACTCCGGAAGAATCATGCGAACTTCTACTACACAGCTCCATACGGTGCGGACTCGCCCAAATAGCAGGGACTGCTTTAGCGGCCGTGTACAAGATTTCCACCCCAGTTGCAGATTTCTTGGATGGCAATCCAAGATGTCGATCGCAATGGAAATAAACGCGAGCACCTTCGACTTCCAAAGGCTGAAGTGGAAGGGACCGGGACGACTAAAACGCGACAGTTCTTATACCACCACTGTCAGCTTATATGAAAGACAATCATGCGCAGCGTTGAAAGATGGCGAGAATGCTGATGCATATCATGTGCCGGCAGTTGGGTGATGTCGACAGTCCATACCGTGACATACCTGATTAACGTTTTAGGTCTCGCTGACGCAGCGAACCCGCTGCGGGTCCAAATGCTCCTAGGGACTTTTCCTGTCATACTTGCGCAAATATTGTAATGTTTAGCGGTCCAAAACGACATACTCATACGATGAAGCAGGATGCCATGCTGGGCAAATACGCAGAAGTTGATGGAGCGCATGCATACAAGGGCTGAACGATGAGACAGAACACCTTATGGAACAATATTCTTGTCGAGGTGCGTTTCTCGTGTTTTCATGACTTCGGACGACACTGGTACTATCCCAGTGTTTCCCAGACGGCATCCGTTTACGATCACAACTCGCACCTTGCGAAGCCCACGTATTGGATCCATCATATTTAGGTAGAGAAGTAGAAACACAAATCCGTATTCGTTGAATGATTGCGAGACGTCGGTAGGCTCCGTGCACGCATAAGTTGACAGGTAGTTCCAGTAGCCATGTAACATGACATTTCCAAGACATAATATTATCCTTCAAAACACGAAATAAATACCAGGACGAAGTTCCTACATATATCCTCCAAATCACCTATCCTTAAATACCACAACGAAACTGAAATCAAATATATACATGTCCCCTGCCCACTATCGAGGGTTGATCACTTGGATGGTTCCAGTGTTACACATCTCCGCCAGTCGACGCATCTCCACCAGCCTGGAAAGCAATCGACGTCATGTGTGTTCCCTCGTCGGACTTGGCCACGAGCTTGGTGTTATATTCACGAACGCTGAGGATCAGACGTGGTCCCAGCACACACATCTGTAACACCTGGGCAATGCTGAGAATGCCATCATACACATCACCTCCCAAACCAGTTGAGAACTGTAGACATGACCAGGAGTTGTCAGATGGAGATGCCAGTCGCAGGTCAGCGCACCGTGATAGTTGGAGACAGTTGTCCAAGAGAAAAGCAAGCCGTGACAACAAAGCTAGCATGTGCGGAACTTCAGCGAAACAGGATAACGACATACAAATCACCGAGCTCACGCTAGAAAGTACAACATGTGACTTTGCATTAGCACCGTGAAACAGTCTCTAATGGTCGATCCTCTCTGCAATTGTTGCAGTTCACGGAAGTGTTTTATAACAATCCGGATTGCAAGAAGAAAGGCGAGGATCTCCCATATTACGGTGGGTATGACCACGTCATAATTCAGAAATATCGCATCTGTGTTAAGACTGTAAAGACAGACATAGTAACCAGACAATACGGCCTCCCCTGGTATTTTCCATGAGTCCCGTGTGCTCAAGTCCGTCATCAATAATTAAAGCTTACCCCCTGAATAACCCAGGTTTGCAATTACCGACACAACTCCGGTGGCAATTGTGAAAACCAGCAAGAGTACAGCAAGAAAGATGAGAATCTTGCTGGATCGCCCATACATGGCGTGTATCCGAGTCATCATGATGGCTTGGATGATATTTCAGTCAAGTCAGTATCAGTAAGGTACGGCAAGTGAGCTCACCGCCCAGCATGGCATTGACGACGACAGGTATCCATATGATTATGAAATAAAGGATGTTGCCTGGAAAACCCAGTGTCAGAGGTGCATTGATCGACTCAATGTTTCAAATGAACTTACAGCTGTTGCAGTCATATCTAACTATCAAGTTGTCTGAGATTGTCACTCACCCCTGTGTAGGAGTGCAGTTAGTAGTTGAATGAGAATGGGAGTGTCAGGCGTCGCTGCCGAATACTCACTATGTCTGTCACCGGGACTGGGAGAAAGACTACATGCTGCCAGTCAGAAGAAATGAACAGAGTGTATTTGGGGACACATACATAGTGCGTAGGTGCTGATTCATATTGTTGATCAGTACAGTGCGGTGTCAACGTGTTAGCCTTGCATACATACAGAGAATATAGTAATCCAATGTAGCGGACCTAGCATATGTTGAAGTCAGCACAAAATGTCGACTTCGCTCATGAAATAACGTACACAAATATACAGAATGGTCATGAAGGACCAGCGTTGCCTCTGCCCCGAGTTAGCCGCATTGCTTTGCTTCTGATACGGGACTCTGCTCACCCAGATGAGTTCGAACTATTACAGCATTCTCAGATATGTGAGATTGCTGCGCAGATTATGACATCAACTAACCTCTTGTGCGAATGTTAATGCTTGAGTACCACATACTTATATATCAATGATCCCCTCATAAAGCATTATCTCGCTCACCCCAATCGTACACCACCACAGCGAAAGATGCAACTGTGAAACCATAGTCAATGATAGCGAGACGTCAACATCGTCATGCCACTTGTTCTCTACGAACCTTGAAAATAGCTAGAAAACTGAGTACCACTGAGGAATGGCCACCAAGTGGGATCATTTGAGACATAGATGGTCATATCAGGATGAGGCGTATGGAGTTCGTACAGACCCACCACCGTCCAGCGCTTTTATAGTGATGAGGCTGGACAATGGCCGTGTCTCGAATCACAATCTTCATTGATCACAGAAAGTAGAAAAGGAATAGTAGTGAGAAGCCGTCGTTCGAAGAACTTTGATGTAACTTACGTCTGCAATCCGCGGAATATTTGAACACCGGAATATCTGTTCGTGATGAAACTTGCTGTTTTGGGGATTCTGCATCAGTTCCATCAGGAATCACAAAATGTTAGCCATCGATGAACAAGACCAACCGCAGGACTTCATTATATGAGCCGTATCGTGACAGAGAACGGACCACTATGATGATGGATGTGCAAGGGTCAGAGTGATATTTGCAACATCAGACAGACTGGTAGGAACGCCTGAGTTAAAATCTACTTCGGCGTGGTTATTGATGATCTTTCCCAGACATCATCCGATCGCGGCGGTGATATACCGGGCTTGGGTGGGCTCAGTTTGCAAGACCAGTTACTTATGAGAGAATTCTTACATCAAGGCTATGCGTCGCAGATGCGCAGAGCCTCTGAACAGATTGATGGAGGAGCTGGATAGTTGCGCGATTGCTGATGCTGAATTTCTGCAGAATCAGGGAAAACTCAGGATTCGATCGTGTCGAGGTGCGTTTTTGTTTCCGTTATTGCCTCTTTCCTTCCTTCCTAGACATACCTTAGTTGCCTATTGACAAGTCTCTGAGGCTATTCGGTGGACGGAGTTGATTTGAGACATCGACACAATGACTCGACGAGTTTGCGGAGTCCGGAGTAGTAGTACTGGGGAAAATTTTAAATTAACCAAATTGAGCCCGATCGGCCGTGTATGACACATTTGACAGGGCAAGTACAAAAGATTTCGAGCTCTTCAGCGCCTCAGGCTTATGGTATTACCCAACAAGGAGCGTTGGTTATAGAGCACTGGAGCAGCTCCCCGGATACTAAGATGATCAAGCTACGCACCGCAATTGGAGGAAACTGTGCTCCCTATAGCTAATATATTCTCACTGATCCGAAGCGGCCTCAGTCGCTGCCAGTTCATATTGTACATCCAGAGCTGCTAGTTGCTATCCCAATTCCAATTCCACATCATGAGGAGGCGCAGAAGCGGGAGCAGATATCAAAGAAACGCAGCCACAATCAACTTGAAGCACTGCAAGCTTTGCAATCTCCGTCACACCTTCCACGTCCCCTCCCCCTTCTCTTTTCCCCAGACTCGCATGTACACATGAACTCATGTCCCCGCATCCATTATCCCACCATCAATGCACCGTCCCTCCGCTCCCATTCACATCGTCCCTCCGCCTTCCATCCATGGACCCCCATTTCCGCTCCGACGTATATCTAGGCCTCACCATGTCCCACCTCGTGGATGCCTGGAAAACTCCTTGCGCTGGTGGAGCTTTTGGGGTATAGGGGTGATAGGAAGTTTAGGGAAGAGTTGTTGGAGTGGGCTGGGGTAGTGGGGTACAAATGGGTGGGTGGTCGAGAAGGGTGAGCAGTCATGTTTTGTGTTATCGTTCTTCTACCGGCATTCGTTTTTCAAATAGAGCTCATAGTGCCTGTGCAAAGTCTACATTGCTAACATGGATTTAACAGACACAGAAGGTGTCTGACGTGCGATCTGTAATATGTCACTACTCATCGATGCATCTTGCACCTTGGTCTCTCTGCATTTACATTTGAAGGCGTGGATGTGCGTATGGCTGCGAGAGTGTCGGAGTGGAATTCGAAGAGGTATCCGAGTGGTGTGTATTGTGTATTATTTCGTTGCGCTGTCTAATGACCATCCACTGTTTCGCTCGCGCGCTCGCTCCACCAGGACAAAAACAGGTGTCTTCTTCCTGTTCGGCACAGGCTGTCTCGCCCTCATCCATTCCCAACTCAAAAGCCCTCGCACAATACAAACGTGCTGCACAAGCTCAGACGCAATGCACCACATTTTGTGGGAGAGTGCAGTTGCTTGTTTGGGGCTCCGGAGGTAGGTTTCTGATCTCTACGTGTTTCACTGGTTTTGTGCTTTGTGGGGTTTGGTTTTTGTGTAGGTATATGCGTGCGTTTCAAGGATACTGATGGGTTCTTTTATGCAGAGTCGCGGAAAGCAGATCGTGGTGGGGGAAGCTTGGAGGTGAGGCTACGGTGAGTTTCTCTTTCCTTCGTTTGGTTCGTGTTCGCTTATGATTGTTTCGTTCGTGTGTCAATCTTTTCCCTTTATCTCTCGATATCTTTCCTTCCAAATACTCTATCTCTCTACTGCCCACCCGTCAATATCTCATTATCACCTCGCTGCACCTAGTGGTCCAAAGCAACATACAAGTACGGCGAGGCAGCATGCCTGGCCACGCTCGACGAGCACGCAGAAGCGAAGTAGCTGATGGAGAACGTCCAAGGGCTTAGGCAGAAACTCGCGGGAAAGAGTATTCCTGTCGAGGTGTGTTTCTCGTTTTCATTTCCATGCTTCCCCTTTCCTTCCATCCCTCTACCCATCTCTATTCACACCCGTTCCTATTCTCCATCCCCACCCAAACCTAACGTTAACCAAACACAGAGATTTGTCGCCCGCAAAGCACGTAAATAGCTCTCCCGATCCGACAAACTTCTCCTTCCAACCTCAGACCTCGCCTACGTGTTCCACGCGATCGCCCTCGCGCCAAGGGAGGTTATTGCGATGAAAATGATTCGCCTGAGTCCGAGTTACCTTCGGCTTGCATATGAATAGCCAACGTGAGTCCTGCAATGCTCGAACTTGAGATTGATACTTATTGTTCTTAACATATTCATCTGTTTCCCATGTCGCCAGGAAACAAGACAGCATATTCTATGTTCCATGTTTGTTATTATAGATTGAGAAAGAGTTACGAGGTATGTATCAATTTTATGGTGCGTTTCAGGCAACCCATCCTGGGGTGGGTTTTGGCCCATTCGGGACATTCATCCAACCAGATACCATGGTCGTTAGAAGCGCAAACATTTCCCTGGAAGTCCAACATGTCTGTAAGCCGACGAAAAGGACGACCCATCTGATACGCCTCTCCACTCCAGGTATCGAGCCGACCCTTCCATTGCTGAAAGAAAAGCAGCATGCAAGACTCTTCTTTCTTCACTGGTCCCGCCTTCGTAACTGGACTCTGGGCCATCCACATCTTGCAGCCATCGTGGGATCACTGCGCACTCCCATAGAGGCGCGATGGTGGCTACTTCAAAGTCGATAAAGCCAGTGACTCGACTCGAATCGGTATCGATCTATCACACGTGCGTTTATATTGGGCACCAAAAGGGCATAGCAAACTTTGACGTCTTGCAAGACAGGCGTGGCGGGAATCCGGACAACACCATCAAGAGCGCGGTAGAACGGCGTGCTTATTATCGATCAAACAACAAAGTGAGGTGAAAGAGGGCTCAAGCAAAGAGATCCTGCGCTTTCAAATCGAAGATAGCATATCTCCGTGAAATAGTGTGCAACCTGCGTCACTACGGTCTTTTTGACCTCCTCGGAGAGATCCCCCAGTTCTGGTTAGCAGGGGTCCCTTGAACTTTGGGTGCGTAGTGTATGGGTGAAGTATCCTAGACGAGATATGTTAGTTTTTTGGCAACCCACCTTATCCAAGATCATGTATTCTGCCCCAACAGGATCTGACGCGTCAGAGTCCTATGCATAGATTCGCAGATATCATATTGCACGTCGCAACCTTTCCCAAGAACGTAGAGTCTTCGATATCAACACAAATGATACACAAGATGCTACGCTGGGAAAAAATGCAGAAGTCGATAGAGCGCCAGTATTCCTGTCGAGGTACACCGTGTATGTTTGGTGTTCTCATTATTTCAGACGACGCTGGCACTATGCGCAGCGTTTACAGCCACAACTCGTGCCTTACCAAGTCCACACGTTGAATCCATCAATATGTATGTCAGTTCAGACGGAGAAATTGGCGAAGCACAACCTGCAAGCAATGGTTGTGAGACATGAGGAGGCTCTGTGCATGCACGTTACAGTGTTACAGCTGTGTAGTTCCCGTAGTGATGCAACACGACATTGCCAGACGTAATTCTATCCTCCGAAACAACATATAATACAGGGATCAACTTCCTATACCATATCACCTACACTTAAATAGCACAACGAAGTCGAAATAAAATATATACATGCTCCCTGGACATCCGGAGTTGATCACTTGGATGGTTCACAGCGCTACACATCTCCGTCAGTCAATGCATCTCCACCAGTCAACACATCTCCACCAGCCTGGAAAGCAATGGACGTCATGTGTGTTTCCGCGTCGGAGCTCGCCACGAGCCTAGCGTTATGTTCACGAATGCTGAGGATCAGACGTGGTCCCAGCACACACATATGGATCCCCTGGGCAATGCAGAGAATGCCGCCATACGCATTAGCTCCCAGGGAAGGTGAGTGCTGTAGACATAATCAACAATGACCAGACGCAGATATCAGTCGTGGATCAGCGCACCATGATATTTGGAGACAGTGCCCCAAGAGTGAAGCAAGCCATGACAACAAAGCTAGCTCGTGTAGAACTTCAGCAAAACAAGATAACATGTAAATCACCGAGCTCACACTAGAAAGTACAACACGTGACTTCGTATCAACACCGTGAAATAGTCCCCAATGGTCGATCCTCTCTGCAATTGTCGCAGTTCACAGAAATGTTTTATAACAATCCGGATTGCAAGAAACAGGGCGAGAATATCCCATATGGCGGTGGATATCATCTTGTCATCATTCAGACCATTGTCGCCTGAGTCCAATCTGAAAATGCACATATGGTAACCAGAGAGAACCGACTCCCCTAGTATTTGTTCATCAGTCCCGTGTGATCAAGGCTGTCATCGATAATCAACGCTTACCCCCTGAATAGCCCAGATTTCCAATTATCGTCAGAACTGCGGTGGCGATTGTGGAAACCAGCAAGACTGCAGCGAGAAAGATGAGTATCTTGTTGGATCGCCCATACATGGCATGTAACCGAGTCGTCATGATGACTTGGATAATATTTCAGTCAAGTCAGTATCATTAAAGTACGGCAGGTGAGCTCACCGCTCAGTAGGGCATTGACGACTATAGGTGTCCATGTCCATATAAAATAAAGGATATTGCCTGAAAAACCCAGCGTCAGATGTGCATTGATGAATTCAACGCTTCAAACGAACTTACAGCTGTTGCAATCATGTCTAACGATCAAGATTTCTGAGATTTTCACTTACCTCTGTGCAGGAGTGCAGTCAGTGGTTGAATGGGAATGTCAGGCATGGTGCCAAATACCCACAATGTCTGTCATCGCGATTGGGAGAGATCCTACATGCTGCCAGTCAGAATAAATGAACAATGTGTTTGGGATACATACATAGTGTGTAGCTGCTGAATGTGAGATATGGTTTATTAGTACAGTGCGGTGTCAACTTGTTAGCCTTGCAGACATACAAAGAATATAATAATCCAATGTAGCGCGCCTGGGATATGTTGAACTCCTCGCGCTGGTGGAGCTTTTTGGGTATAAGGGTGAGAGGAAGTTTGGAGTGGAGTTGGTAGAGAGTGCTGGGGGGCGGAGTGAGTAGTCACATTTTTTTGTCATTGTTCTTCCACAGGCGTTCTCGAATTGGGGCATTGAGCCCATGCTGTCTGTGCAAAGTCATAACTGCTAACATGGATTTAACAGATACACAAGGCGTCCAACGGGCGATCTAATATGTCATTACTCATCTTCCACCTCGTTCTCTCTGCGTTTATGTTTGAAGGTGCCGATGTGCGCAAGGCTGTGAGAGTGTTGGAGTAGAATTTGAGGAGGTATCTAAATGGTGCGTGTGTCTTTTGTGTTATTTCGCTGCACTGTCTGATGTTTCTTCGCTGCTTCACTCGCTTCCTCCATTAACACCAAAACAGGCGTCTTCTTCCTGTTCGGCGCAGGCCGTCTCGCCCTCACCTGTTGCCAATCCTCAAAATCCCTCGCCTACTACGCACGCGCTGCACAAGCTCAGACGCAGTACAGGAATTTACCCCAAACTTCGTGATGGGAGAGTGTGGTTGGCCTGTTTGGGGCTTTGGAGATGGGTTTCTGTTCTGTGTGTGTTTCGCTGGTTGCTGGGTTTGGTGTTTGGGTTCTTGTAGACGTTCTCTGGTGGACGTTCTATGGGGAGGGAGGGGTCCAGGGTGATACAGGGCAGGTGTAGATCTGAATATATGCACGATACTGAGCCTCCGGTTGAAAAGTCACTTTTTTCAACAGCTGTTGAATATTACCGTTATTAATGGTTAAAAACGCTGTTGTCAAAAAAGTGGTCACGTCCTGAGACCTGTTGAAAATTGTGAAAAAATCCAGGTGTGTGGGAACGTTTTGAATGAACTTCTGAGGCTCAGAAAAATGCAACCGGACCCCTCCCATCGCCAAGCTTATTTTCGACACATTATGTAAATTTCTCGACATAAGTTATTGCCTGCATCTGGATCTCTCACCTTGGACACTGCTACAAAATCTACCAACTGCCGTAGTACCTGTCGGCACTGCTTTCACGACTCTCCGAACATGAACGCATGCAGCCTGCAGCTGAGTAGGCCATAATACAAGGAAGACGAAACCTTCATTGGTTCAACTAAGATGCCGCAGCATTCTGATTAGCACAAGCACAATCGGGCATTCCGCCAGTGAGGAGTGTGGCCTCCCATGGGCACTCTTGCTCCCCTCGAATTTCAAATTTAAAGTTCAAACCCATTTCGTAGCAATGTAGCGCTTACCACCCGTTCATGCGTTCATGCGTACAATTCCATTTGATATCGCAGAGCTAGCGCTGATGCTTTGATCAACAAAGAAAACCCACGCTCGCAAACCGCAGGCCTCAGGCTGATGACCCCAACCAACACCTCGCATTCTCCATAGTTACGTCCTCCAATATGATCTCGGAAGATATTAATACATTGTTCATCTGGTATAAGCATCAGCGCTAGTTCCGCGATGTCAAATGGAATTGTACAGTGAGTACATCAGTACTGCGAAACGACGGAAAGCAAATGCTGATCCCTCAACATACTCAATCATCCGACAATCCATCCCTTCTAATAGACAAGCACACTCCTTGAGGATTCTGCTCGATGGCGACTAGTACTACTTGGTGCAATGCATGCCGGAGTAGCAGTTAGTTCAACAGGTGAGGGCTCCATGTCAATATTTTGATGGCCCGCATTTCTGACAATGTCCGGTTGCTCGCAAGGTTCTCGTAATCAAAACTAGTGTTGCTGTCCCATTGATAACCATCTCCACCACATTCCGCACTGTCCCTAGACCGACACCATTATGTTAACGTGTTGGTTTCCATCAGCTTTCTGCATTATCATCACGGCGATCACATCTTGTGGAAACGTAGGTCCCTCCAAGGTGGTTGTTTTAAGGACTAATGGTGTTTCAAACGTCAAGCTTTTCAGGAGCAAGCACCAAGAACCAGGCTTCAACTACCAGCACAATGAGCACACGCAAGCTCCCGAATCAATTTCGTGATGTTCGAATCGAATTATATATACAGTACGTAACTGCATGCAGTGTCTCAATGGCCATGGCAATGTTATCTGTGAAAAAAAAATTCTGGTACTATGTAGCTTTAAATATCAAGTTGCGCCCTACCTGGTACAGCCAGTTGAAACACCCCGGATCACGATTATTAAGCGAATCCGAATGGCTTTTTAGACCACTTGTTCATAAGAGATAAGAGGGTGCACGATGTGTGCGCAAAACCCATTCTTTTACCTTTTGAACGCAAACAGATGGATTATTCGGCTGCCGATATTGAAGCGGCCCAGAGCCTGCAGCTCTTAGCAGTGCGTCGTTTTCTTAATACGATGATAAGATGATAACAGATTTACCAATTGCTATCAGTACCTATACGGTGCATCACTACAGTCTGAACTGCTTCTTCCTCGTTCTGACTTGACAGCTCAGCGGCGATGGGCGTGTTCTGGGTAGGCTTGTCTCAATCTATTCCCGTTTGCCCGTTGACTGGTTCATCCAGACCTATGACTATGCTTGTTCATTTGAACAAGAGGTATTGCAACTAATCCGTGATACGCCTCGGTTTGACATTGATGATATGCTGTTTGAAGTGGATATTTCTGGTTCAGTCGCGCTGGTCCAAGGTGAAAGGCCTTTATATCGTTACACGACATGTCCCCTTCTTTCTCGTCATCATGAACCTAGTATATCGTGCGTTCAATTCCCGCACACATTCTCCCGGCAGTGAACTGACAGGTTGTACTCCAGTGGGATTCACCTCGAACGAGAGCCCTGATGTACGTGAACATGCAGCGGCCCTACCACTGACGAACGATGCTTACTACATGACTTCACCAGAAATGTCGGATAATGAGCGATACTTACTCATGTACGTGTACTGTACATGCTGCATGCACGTCCTTGTCGAGCGCTGTTCTTTCCTCTTACAGGTTTCGGAGTGATTTCACTCACATGCTCTGAATGTATATCTCCTTCCTCCGCAACATACACGTGCTTCTGATCAGCTTCATCCAGGCTTTTTTGTGCTCAGAACGTATGCACTCTGGAACAGAAATAAAATTGTACTCGTAGCGATGATCACCTCCCTTTTTGTGAGTTCTATGCCCTCCCTACACCTAAGCTCATTGTTGATGGGATCAATCAGGCTACCACTGTTTCATTCATTAGCATTTTCCTCACCAGTATTACCACCTCATATGGTTCGTGCTCTCGCTTTCCTGCACCTACTCGCACACATTCACTTCATTTTCATAGTTACAATTAGCGCGATCCCAGGCATCACAGGGTGCTACCGGAGCTCAACCACTGTCGAAGGTACTTTTGCCGTTTCTTCTGGTGTTTGTGTTTCAAGTGGGTATGTCTCCGGGAACTGGGATCACACAACTACGGACACGGGCTTACTGTCACTCCCCAGAACTGATCTCCCTAACACTGATATGTGTTGTACGAACCTGGCGATCAACCAAAAGTCCATTGTATGCTATCCTGGTGAAGCATGATATATTATACTATGCCATCGGTCTGCGTAAGTCAAGACTGATACATGTGTCTCCGTGCTCATTGGTGATGGCTATGGCTTCTATAGTTTTCTCGACCGTGAACATCCTCATGCCAGTGCTAGCTCCAGATGTACGTCCACTTCTCAATAGCCATTAATCTGATTGAGTCATTGATGTCCCGCACATCCAGAACGCATTCTACACCGTCCTCGAAGAGTACGCTCCTGCAGCTTCTTTTGCGAGTCCCTGCTGATAATAGCTCTAAACATGCATATACAGTTTACAGGGCTTTTTAATTGCAATCCTCGCCACACGCATGCACCTCTATCTCTGGCGTATCGACCAGCAGGCGGTTGGCACTGGCCTTGTGTGTGATTCTTGGCCCGACACGCCAGATCTAGATTCCATACCGTACGTGTGATATAGTGTGATGTCTTATTAAGGTTTGGACTAGGTGGAGATGGCTTATCGGGGTCACTGGCTTAATTTATAGGACAACGCCCGGAGAGACACCGAATTTGACGGGTATAAGTAATCCTGGCAGCGAGGATCGTTCACATGATGACTTTTGACGAAAATGTACATGAATACTGATACGTACGATCTTGCGAGTCCTTTGTCTACGATGCCAGTAGTATACTATGATATTGCAACTACCTCTGAAATGTGAACTCATCCGTCAGTGTGGGTATAGGATGATTGTTACAGTACAAAGGCAGGATAGTGCAATCGTCCAGTTGAGCGGACTCGAATTCTTGCTCATATACCTTTCAGGCGTTCAACGCAGGATCACGCTCACCGCGATAGGAGGTCACTCATCATGCATCATGCATCATGGACGATCGGAGAAAGATGATTCATTCGAATCGGCAAGTGCCGATTCGTTGATCCGTTTCCTTTTGTCCGATGGCACCGGTTAAAATAACGGGTCTCCCAACAGCGAATTCTGTTTCAACTGGTGAATATAACTGACAGAGCTAGTGGCTAACAACCGCATGTCGAATGGTGAATATGGTGGCTTGCGAAGCGTTGAATATCACCCGAATAGGTGGTGACGCTAAATCACCTGTTTCGCACCGGTCACCAACTAATCACCGGTTCAGTAGGTGAATCGCAGAATTCACCAGCACGGTCAGTGATTCAAACCTCCTTCCGGTTTTGTAGTGGAAAGAGCTGCGAGAGGCGCAAGAGACTGCGGAAGTAGAGTTGGACAGCCATCTACACCGGCTGGGTGAATGTAGCACGTTGCTGCAATATCGACAGCGCTCGGCCGACTGGTGCATCAGCAAACTACTGGGCTCTGTACAGAACTGTACAGTTCTGTACAGAGCCCAAGCGATACAGCTTGGTCCCTTCTGTACAGTTCACTACAGTACCACATCACTCTGTAAATTTTCGTACAGACAACTTACAGACTCACAGAGAAGGCTCATTGTACATAGATTGTCAATAATATATCATTGTACTACTGCTGCTCACTGTCCAACTGGTCCACACGTGTACAGATAAGCACCATTGTACTACCGCTGCTCACTGTCCAACCAGTCCACACGTGTACAGATAAGCACAATGATCAACAAACTTTGATGGTATTCAATCAGATAGCAAACACGGCGGCGGAAAACGCGATACATTGTACACTAGCGGGAATGATGCTCGAGATAGAATCAGTGCGGGGGAATAGTGCTAAGACCTCAATCAAGGACAAATTTCAAATGCGAATGCTTCGCGGCATCATTGAAGCCGCCATCCACCTTGTAGGATTCCGCCCTGTGCGAACTTCGTCAGTATGCAAAACATCACGAAATAAAAGCCCTTGCCATCCAGCTCGAGCCCAGGAACGGAGCTGTTGCACTAGCTTCGGTCCATGGTAAGAATGTTCCAAGATCCCCTGCAGCTTAGTGACCGTAAGGCTATACAACGAACCGTATTCCTTCGCGGTAAACTTCGGAAATGATTTTCCGCTGCCGTTCTTAGCAAGGCCGTCCAGGACACAATTAACCTACAGAAATGATGTCAGTAGATTGTTAGTAAGATAGAAGCGCAGAAAACATACCGCGGTGCAAACTAATGCCAAGCACTCGAGTGGTAACTGTGTCCGGAAGATTTCAGGCCTCCTGCGAGCGACGCGGTAAGATGATGTGTAAAAGAAAGAAATAACGGCCTCGCGAAGCGCGGGATGAGCGGCGTTTTGGGTTTTGCCGAGGTCATCTAGACCATTGCGCAGAAACTTAGCATCCTCCAGCAACTCCCCAGCGGCAGCTGTGACCCAGGCGGCACGTTGTTGGGGGGGGATGTGGGGTGGGGGGATAAGATTGTACATAGAAGGCACAATGTTAATCACAATCTTCTTGAGGTCTGAGCGCCAGGTTGATAAATCCTCATACAGCTAAAATAACAGCGCATTAGTGATCGGACACGCAACGACAAAAATACATACCAGCTTGGCCATATCGTGCTTGTGATCAGGCCAGATACCTGGTAGACATTTGAGTAATGTCTTGAGCAAACACAAAAAGACGTACCCTCTTCGACGTGCTGACCACTTTCGAGCCATTCGACAAGTGAGGCCATGAGTACCTCGTTGACAGAACCTGTCAAGTCTTTGACCAGCTTCGGGAATAGGGTTCTCGATCGCGTGTTGGACGCTGGCACTCGCCCTTCGTATCCTCGAGGAAGCTCTTCCAACTGAGGACCATACCAGCCCAGTTGAGTAGCTTTAGGTCCTTCGCCTGGTTCGTCAGATTTCGCCAATGCAGTCTTGGCTTGTGTGTTGCTTGACTTGTGGTTGGGTTTCTTTGTCTCGGCGTGATGTAAGAGTTCGAGAAATTGAGGATCAGGAAGGCGAGGGCGTCCATTTTTCTTGTGGTGAAGTTGTAACACGTCATCTGGTTGGGGATCAGCCGGCTGTAGGAAAGAAAAAATTAGCGGACTTCAGGAAATTATATAAACTATACCTGGGTCACAGTATCATCATCGCTGGAGCTATTATTTGCTACCAAAGATCTCTCCGCATCATTGTCACCTTCATCGCGGGAATGTTGAAATTCGAAGTCGGTTGGAAGCGCGAGGGCAACGCGGGGTTGGGATGGTAAATCTTCCTTCGAGAATCCTGTCACTCTCTTAGTGTGTTCACAACGGTGATAACTAACAGCTTACCAGGATGTGCAGTCATGCGCCCATGTGCTGCCCCCCAGCCAACATTGTCAGTCTGTGTGATCTGCCTCTTCATCGCTAGCACTTCCATCACCGCCTTCGCTAGATGTTCCCGAACTGTCAGGATCTTGTGTCTTGCGGTTCATACTGATTGAAACGTTCATCATTGACTGGTCGAAGGGCAGGGTCGAGGTTCTGATACAAGTCTGAGTCAGCATAGGATTGATGTGCAGGTAATGTGCGATTTGAAGGTACCACCGAATGCTGGTTTTCAGAGGTGACGACAGCAATGGGAAGATGTCCAGTGGTACCTAAAGTCGCTGAAGAAGTCTGCTTCTCCCTGGCCGCAGCCACATAAGAATTGTTAAGTGCTTGAAGGTCAGGCTCTGTGCCAGGGGGAACGATATGCTGAGCAAATCCAAATCGCTGCGCCCAGCTTCGCGGTGCACAAGCCTGGGCTGGAGGTTCGGGGCCTCAAAATCTAAGGCAGGGGGAGCAGCATTCTTCGTTGCCTTTGTTTTTTTGGCCCGAGGTCCAGAAGCTGCAGAATCCGTCATCTTGGAGGCACTGTATGGCGGGGGGGGGGCTTCTGAATATATATCCAGCGTTATAAGCCTGTCACTGCGACTTTAAGTATATAAGAAAACCTACCTTTGAGTGGCTTCCACGACCCTTACGAGGCGGCTCCGGAGCAAGCGGGTTGTTAGGAACATCCGAGTCAAGAGAGGTGGAGCCTTTGGGTCGACTGGTTCAGTGTCGAGGCACCCAAGAGATTACCGATTATCTCTAGTTGACTGGCTCTGCCTCCTTGTCCTGCACCATGACGTCCGGAACGTCGAGGGGGCACAGCCTGAGAGTTGGCGACATCAGAAGTCGGCTGCAACACAAGGGGTGCCTCAGCCCCAGCCCGCGTTCTCTTTGTTGAAACACGCTGCCCATCAGAGTCGATAGCTTTACGCTTTGTCTTCTTCTTAGGGCTAGCGCGAGCGTGATTCTGAGATTGAGAAGGCATGACTGGAGCTGACACCAGAAGGAATGATGATAGCGTGCAGTAATTGTGGACCGGACACTTGCCTTGAAGGCTTTTAATAGTCTGTTGACGAAGGAGCATCACAAGCGCTTTTTGGAAGTATGACTCGGAGTCGACTGACAGGCTCGTGGGTAGCAGTGTGGAAATGTGTGTCAAGGGCTGAAGCGCTGACCCGCAGGGCATGATTAAAAGATTTCGCCGGTCGAAGTTTGAGTAATAGTAGAGGTAAGAATTCATATCAATGAGTCAGTGCTACGTTTTTCGGAAGTGCATGTTATATCACGTGACTCGAATGACCAATGTAAATGTAAATGATACATGTATATGTGTGCGAGTCCCTATCCAGTCTTGCTCCTTTTCGGCTTGGGCACAGCTTCCATCGTCCATTCGATAATCAATAACCCGTTTGTTTTTGTTGCGCACCATGGGCTCAGCAACTAACCGTGATTCAGATTCCCCTTCCTCGCCACTGCTTGAAGCCTCCGAGTCAGCCTTGTTGAGTGCCTTGAGCAACCACGTTGAGACCAGGAGCTGAGGCGACAACTCGTTGGTTGGAAATGTCGCGATATGTCTATTCAACATCGAAATCACTGTCGTCGAAACCTACGTTCTTCGGGTCTCTTATCAGATGATGCCACTCCAATGCAACGGGAAGGAGGTTTTTGAAGTACGGGTGGATCTGGTTGGTGAGTTCCTTGGCGTAGTGTTCTTCGTAAAAAAAGAACGATGTTTTACTATCACAGCACGCCTTGAACTTGGACGCGGACCATTCATGCGGTATCCAAGTGCAACTCTTGTCCAGAATGCGCTTCATGCCAAGGGGACCTCTAAATTCGATCAAAATCCAGATGAACACGTAGAACACGGACTCGAGGTCATCCTGGTAGCTGTGCTTGATCAGGGGGGCTGGGTATGGTTTCGAACTCGAGGCTCCCTTGTGCGCCACCATGTCACCTGGACTCTTGAGGTGAAGCTGGAAGAGAAGTGCTCGGGACATGAAAGGTAATGTGCCCTTAACGCGCTTCATTAGTACCGACCCTTCTACGAATTAAAAACGCTTACGGTGCCCCCAACAGTGTAGGTCTCATTTTTGGCGATTTTCACCGCAAACTCCCAATCTATCAGCATTCCTTGGGAGCCGTTACCATCGTCCTCAATCATGGAGTTGTTCAGACTGCAATCACGGTGGAGGACCTTGCGCTGTTCCACCGCTTCCTTCTGAACTAATGGTAAGTCAGCAAAAGCTTTAAATTGCAATGTATGGTACGTACTCTGCACAATATCTCGTATCGACGTCAACAACTCTAACTTTGTGCGGAATTTATGCAAAGGTCGCGCGCGGGGCTTCAAGACAACGCGAACATGAGTACGGAATGTGCCTTTCAGGCTTCGCACGGACTTGAACCGATAATTCTGCGTTTGATCAACCTTGTTGGGCTCGGACTCGACAAGCCAATATTCGACAAGCTTGGGGACACCGCGGACACCGCTCATCTTCTCCATCATGTGGATCTCATTCAAGGCTTCTTCATCTCCCCCCATGGCCCAGTAATCCTTGATAATAAACTCCTCCCCGTCCTTCCTGGCCAGATAGCAAACGGTGCCGCGACCCACAAGACCCTGTCTGGAAAAAATAATTTCCAAGATATCGTAGTAGTGGTCCTTGACACGTATTTTTCCGATCGGCCGTGGTAGAGGTTCGTGGACTGTAGGATCTTGAGGGATTTCTATAGGGAGCTCCACGACGAAGTCGTCTTCAGCGGAGTCACCCTCAGCGCGCTCTGTGCCCTCCTCAGAGAGGGGGTTGCCGATCTGAGAAGATGTGCTCTCGATCTCGTTCTCGTTGCAGGAGGATGCGCTCTCGATCTCGTTGCAGGAGGGTGCGCTCTCAATCTCGTTATAGGGCGTGCTCTCGATCTCGCGGGGGTGGGAGGGTGTGTCAGAGGAACTTTCGATCTGGGGGGGGGAGGGGGAATTAGAGTGTGATCTCAGTGTCTGCTGGAGCGTATGCGCGAAGATGGTGATAGTGGGGTCATACCCGATGCATGTTAGATTGCCGAAGACGATGCACGACAAGATGCGCAAGAATTTGTTAGGCTCCTTTTGGATGCTAGTGCAAGGGCTCACGACACCCCCCGAATGGTCGTACACGTGAACGCGAAGATCGCGATAGCTATTGCACACCGATATCAATAATGCGAACCGTCTCCAGGGTTGGTGCTTCAGAAGAAGGTAAGCTTTGGTGTCGAGAGTCTTCGCAAGGGTGCTTGAAGGTTGGTATGCGCTGGATGTCAGCTCGCATACCGCTTTGATCGTATCCCACCTAGCCTCAACATCATCCAGCAAGGTAAGATCTGGTTTCCGTGGAATTTCTTCACCGGGTACTGGGCGAGATGAGTTTGCTGCACTCCAGGTGCGCGATAAGTCGTGTGCCCGAGCGAGTTTAGGCTGCGATGCGATGAGAGCAACAGAAACAATGTTAAAGAACGATGAGAAAATTTGTTCCATCGTTGATGGATCCTCGGCTTTAATCGAGGGCGCTTCGAGTGAGTCCTCCTCCATTTCCCCAACTTCCGACCCCTCCTCAACCTCTGACTCCTCTCCAACTTCTGGCCCCTCATCAGCGAATAGGTCCCCATCGGCGAATGGCAACTTGCTCGCGGTAAGTTCACTGGTGGATGGGACACCTAGACTCCCAGAGGACAACTGAGATTGGGTTGCTTCATCGATCAATACCCAATCTCCTGACTTCTCACCCATGCTACTCCCTCCTCCCTGAACCAAGTCGCTTTTTTCACGTTTACGCTGTTTTGAAAGTGGCCAATTCCATTGACGTTTTGCGCTATCATACAGGTGCACCATCGGATCTCCACCTGGCTTCAGAGTGAAGGTTTCTAGGTGATCGAGCCCGGCATTGGAAGGTAATTTCCTCAACGGAATAGCAAGATCTTTCGCGTTGGGAACTTCAACCGTGCACGACTGGAAAATCAGGGACAAGATGTAGCCGAGCTTGTCCTTGTCCTTTCTGGCGAGCGGGGGTTCTTGGAGTATCAAACGGTTGAGTTCCAAATCAGTGAATTTATCCATAGCGTCTGTGTCGTGGAGCGGGGGAGCTGAAAGGAAGGATGACAGCTTCATCCCTAGGTCAATTGTTCGGCAATGTCGCGCAGCTGGCATTTTGACAGGCACGAAGAACAAAGCATGGGAGAAACAACGGTACTAGGATACAAATGGAAGTAACTAAGCCAATAATGATGGCACACAAACTAATCTCAGCATGAATCAAATACTATCCTGATAGCGCGAAGAAAGTGTTTTTTTCCCAATATTCATTCAACCAAAACTCCGTGGCATGCTCCATACTGTTGTAGGTGGTTAGACGTTTATCCGCAGTTGCTCCAAAGCGAGGGATCAGGTTGATAGGCGCCCGGAGTTGAGAGACTGGTACAATGTCCCCCATCCGACCTCCGTTTGAACGTTTTGCTCGTTTGAGCAGGTGCAGCTGTGTAATCGGATCGCGATCATGCGAGATGTCAAAGCGTTGCACATAAGTGAGAAAACGATCCATCCATGACCAGCGTGTGCCGCTCTTACCAACAGGCCGCATGATGAGTCTGATCTGAGCAACAGTGTGACCTACAGGTGGGTAGTAGTTTAGGCTAGGATATGGGTAACACCACACAAGACAAAAACATACCTGAAAGTCGACCACTAGGCCATGAGGAACCTGCAGTAGTCTCAATGATAGCCGTGTCATAACGGCCTAGAATCCAGGGGTCACTAGGTGGAGCGCAATTCAATGTCTGAGCCGGTCTGATGGTGCAACCATCGTGAAAGTTCGTCTCTTGCAAACGGATTTTGTACCAGAGCGAAACTTTGTCAAATGGAAGGACAGTCATAGGCCCAGCCCTTCTTGGACCGCCTATCGCGTGGACATGCTGGGGTCCGTAAGTTGCCTCACGCTGAAGGAAGTCAGCGATAGCTGGCCGTAGATCTGGGAGGGAAAATTTGATGGCGACTTCATCGACGGAGATACTCCTGATGGAGGGATCATATCCGACATGAAAGGCAGTGCGCCCAATGGCAAATGAGCGTAATGGAATGGGCACTAAAGCCGCATCCCTGAACTGGAGTGCCCTAGCGATGGCAAAATAGTTTGTGACTGGACGACCTGGGTGTTGCTGTGTCGCGGAAAGTTCAATGGGAATATCTTGAGCGTCAACGTCAACATCAGCGTCAACATCAGCGTCAACGTCAGCGTCAACGTCAGCGTCAACGTCAGCGTCAGCGTCTAAGTCCTCTGGCTCCTTCGTAGTCGAATCTAAAAGGCTGGTAGCGAGCTCAAAGCGACGACACTTTTCAGCGCGGTCCAGGTGTCGGCATATCTGGGGATCGTAGTTGTTGTTATTGCTGGCCCTTGCAGGGTCTTTGATTTCGCTGATATGTGCATGTTCCGTGACATCCGCAGACCATTGCATTGTGACGCCAGAGTTTCGAATGCTCGGAACAATGTTTTGCATTAGCTCCAACTTGGGTATATACCAGTTGGTGATGGGTCTATTGCCCTTCCCTCGGCGAGCTCCGGCGTCAATAATTGCATCCTTGTTGGCATGGAACTCATCCAATGCCCTTGAGATGCGCTCAAGATCGTCACCATTAATGCGCGGCGGCTGCACGAGATAGCGGAACTGCATGAGTGCGCGTATGGCAGTGATTATACCAGGAGGTGCTGCGTCCGCGCATAGTGCAATGATATATCGTTGAATATCTCGTTGGCAGCGACCGGTGACTTGTTTGAGCCTTGAAATGCCTGCATGAAAGTGACGATAACCGGTGACGGGCTGCGAGATGGAAAACCGGAAATCGATCTCGGACTCTCCAACAATGCAAATGAGCCATTGTGCATCGTGATCCCAGAATTCCTTGTGAATGTGGTGGAGGTGTTCCGGTGTAAGAAAATGGGAGGGTTCCGCAAGTATCCAGTCCCGCCAGAATGGTTCAGCGACACCGTTTAGACGGCACTTCTGGGCTTCGCGGAAGAAAGCTTCAATATCAAGAGGATCAGCGCGCGAGCGCACAACAGCAAGCTGCGCAAGAGTTGTTGATTTCGTTCGGGGTTCATGCTGGAAGTCATCCCCGAACTGCTTGTACATCGCCATGGTCACTGGTGACGTCTTTCCACCAACAGTGGCCAGCATCATGGCTTCGGGGGTGTCGGCGATGTAACTCGCAAGCGGGGTGAAGCAATAACGGCTGTGTCCACTGGGGTCCGACAACATGATACCATTGCGAGCGGCCTGTTTCAGAGGTTCGAGGACAATATCTAGACATTGATGTATAAGGCGGTCCTCCAACACACCCTTCATCCGCTTCTTCTTATGCACGAACTTTGGGACCGGAAGTAGGGCAGTGAGAACAAAAGAGCTCGATGAAGACTTGAGTCGTGTACTGGCATGTATGTTTGCAAGGCTAATTAGAAGCGGATGAGCAATGCGATCGCCTGTTAATGCGGTGATGTTTGTCTTGTCGGAGGATAGGATGGTGCCGAGGAGGGTTGCGCCGCTAGGTATCGCCGACTTCAAATATAAATGAGCCGGAGACATCGAGATTCGACTTGCTACATACCTGCATGTCCCAGGCGTCATCGCCCGTCATCCATTCAGTGTATACACGAGACAGTCTCTCTGCAGTGGAGTACACCTTGCGAGGTGTCAAGTCCAAACGACCGTGAAATAAGGGGTGATTGAAGATGCTGGCGATGCACTCTATAGGGTCACGCCAATACAAAACCACGGGCGACTTTGTAGGGTGCGATGTTGGAATTATTTGGGACATCCAACGTGGACCGCTGGGGAGCATCTCAGCTCGACCCCGTAATTCTCTGGCTGAGCAGAACAACAACGGTAAATCTTTGATCTAAAAATCCCGAAAGTCAAGGGATGGCAGCGAGTTTGAAAGGTTCGAACACTCACCATTTCAAGCGATAGGAAGGAATCAATCTTCCCCATGCTCAGGCCTGAACTAAGCAGCCACGCTGCAACTCGCCAATCTGCCCGACTGCTAAATGGATAGTAAAGGTTGGTTTTGCGATATATACTATTTTTGTCAGTCTCAAATAGGCTCAAAAAGGTGTAGCCATCCTCATAGGCGAGCGGGGGGTCGGGAAAGTAGTCGGTAACTTCACCGCCCTCGTCCTGAGTTCCACTGTGCGCTCCCGCGATATTCACTTCTTCACCACTAATGTCACCAAAGTCATCCAGCATTGTCTCGCTTCCGAATTCTGGTTCTTGAGAAACACGAGGTTCGACATCTGCTGAGTGCGTGAAATCATGTGGCGGGATGATGGAGTCAAGCTTGATAATATCTTCCAGCCAGGTATTGCATCCAGACCGAGGTTGGCTCATATGACGAGCAATAGATGTGTGGTCCTGAAAGGCTTTTCCACATGACGGACAGTGATACATGAGAGCGAGCAGCAAGACATATGCTAGTATGATGTAAGTAAGCTTTCAATCTTCCGGCATTTTCCGTACTGACCTCTCCAACGCACACCACCCCACACTACATAATGAACATAACAAATCTGCAATCTCTGTCAGCACGCGCATCAGGGATTGGCGAAAAATCCCCTGATCCACATCATCGCAAAGGACCGTCGGACCTATATGAAATTCTTCATATTGTAAATTCTATGGTGATGTCAATCTCGACGCTCACCCCTTCACAATGCGCCTTACCTTTCAACAGTCCATACAGGACCCAACTGCCTCTGAGGCCAATCTTGTGATGGATCTTGTGAGGGCCAAACGCGACGTTTATCAAGCACAGAAGGCATTGGCGGATTGTGTAATGCGGGAGAATGAGATGTTGGCAAGCCTGCTGAGATTCCGTGCCGAAGAGGCGGAGAAGAGGTTGGACGACACAGATATGGGATTGGGGTGCATGAGAGTTATGTTCAAGGAAAACGGGTGGACTCATATTTCTTCTTTGACTCGAACACCTGGAAGTCATCTGCAACCCGGTAAGCTCACGAGACGAGACGACGCGGTGTCATGAGGAGGCTGATCCTATCTCAGTAGAAGTTACAGAGTGCGGCCGGCAACTCACCATCCAGCTTGATTGATCCGAGTGCTTCGAATTCTTTTCGCATCATTACAATATTCAACTTCGAATCGTTTATACTATGCGTCATTTTCCCTCACATGAATACACCAGTACATAGTATATGTTGTACTATACCCCTTATGAATGAGTTTGACAGTCAGTATCTCAGAGACCGTTCTTAAGTTTTTGCCGTGCCATGCTATTTTAAGTTCAATCATCGAGCTCGAGACTACTCAAGTCAAATGTGTATCTTACTAGTGTAGACTTTAAGGTGATACCACTACTAATAGATTTTCAACTGCAAGTTGCTGCGAAGTCTCGCAGCTGTACTGTGGAACTGTGAGTGACTGGAGACAATGCATGCTTTGTGGCCACGAGTTGCTGTGATATTGGCGGAGCTGTGGAGTCTGTGGCTGACTGTCGTGAGAACGCAAATCCTGTACCTTCTGTGGAGAAAGTTGTAGTTTGCTGATGTGCACTCGAGCACGTCGACTGGCCGAGGAACGAGGTGATCAATCCATAGTCATGATATTCCTGTATTGATACATATGATACAATTTACAAGTTGAAGGTCGCAATTCTAAAAGTGAGGATGAAAATATGTATAAAAGATGCAAGTGGTATGATATAAATGATCAATAATGATAATGATGATTTCCACATAAAATTGTGATGCTGATGCCAATGCTGATGATGATGCGGGGGTAATAAGACAACGAGATGAAAGATGGTCGTGAAGATTTCAATAGACATTGTATTCGTTTGTAAACGAGGGTTGAGCCATCGAATACGTTGCATTATCCTGATACTCGTAGCGGCCTTCAAAGTACCCTGAGCCATATTTCTGCAAGAACTCGTCCAGCTCAGCTGGTAGGGGGTTGTTCAGGTCGCTTCCGGAGACGGGCTGGGACTGAAAGTTCACATATGGAACGGGCTGCTGATAGTTGACATCGGAGAACAGCTCCGGGTCAAACTGCGGCATGTGGAGAGTGGAGAGATCGGCGGGGACAGTCGCATGCTGTAAGGTGGGAATGGGGAGCTGAGAAGGCTGATCATAAATGGAGGCGAAGCTCTCGGCGGGGAGATCTGGGAAGAGTCGCTCCCAGGGGAGTTCGGCGAGCTCGCCCGAGAATTGGGGGATAGCTGAACTGCTGGACTCAGCGGGTGAGAGCGCATCGCAGGGAATGAGGCCTGCGAGCTCAGGAAATGCTTTTTTTTTTTTTTTTTTTTTTTTTTTTGAATCAGTGTTTATTGTCCGTTGGGGCGCTGCCCTATGTTAGACAGAACTTTCTTGTATGTATTTGTATCGTAATTATGTGCATGCGTGGTCGTTGTTTGTTTGTTCATTGGTCCTGGCGTAGAGCGGGGACGGTTAAGGCCATCTTAAGGCGATATGATGAGGTTTGCGCTGTTCATCCTGTCTCTTCATTGTCCGCGGGTGGCGTTAAGTCTCCAAATATCTTTTCCAGTCTGTGCGTGCTTGCTATGTAGTGCAGTAGCGGTTTGGTGCATTTCCGATCATTGAGCAAGTTCTTGATTTTCGCTTGCGCGGGGTCCGATTTCGTTCTGGAGGGTGAGACGCTGTTGAGTGTAGGCTGGGCATGCAATTAAGAAATGATGGACGGTTTCTTCTTTTCGGTGACATTGCTGGCATATGGGACTGGGGACCTTTGCTATGCGGAATAAGTGCTTGTTCAGCGGTGCGTGACCTGTTCGGAGTTGAAAGAGTAGGGATGAGTGTCGTCTTGGCAGTTTTGAAACGAGTTCCGAGAAGTGTTTCGACGGCGCTGATGTGTCGATTTCGTGGAGTCGCTTGTAGCGTGGTGAGTCTTTCATTATCTTCGCTGCCTCTCTTTTCATCAGGAAATTGCGCAATACCTATGCGAGCCTATATGGTCTACGTACACCGTCTAGGTCGTTAGGTTTCCCCCAACTACATAGGCGCCACATAAGCACAGCTACATATGGTAGACATTCATAGGCACTGTATTGTCCATAGGCATGAAGGCTATGATAGGCTCAGTACGAGCTTAGGATCTGTGGTTCTGGTAGTATGATACTGAATTTGCAATGGGTACACTAATAACATGATACTAGTAATACTCCTCGTCCGATTCTACACGACCATCCCATTCTGCGGCTGCTGCAGCGAATTCGTCTGTCGAGAAGTTCTCTGTACTGCCTCCCACGCTGAACGGATCCTCCGGAACACTTGCATGTCGACTGTCCAGTGTCGACGTCAATCAGCTTCAAGACTACCACACAAATGTGTTGGCCTACATACCTGAGCACGTCTTAAAACCCTCTTGCAGATCTTCGGCAAAACACCGACGTGCTTAGTGCCCTCATGAAACTTGACCAGCATGTTGAAGTAAATGTCGAAGATCGTTGCGTAGCGCTCCTTGTAGAAGCGCGTCTCGCTTTTTGTGCCACTGGTCACCTGTACCTGTAGTGTTGAAGCTTAAAAGTGTCAGATTAGACACAAGCCTTGATGCAAAAATGACTCTAAACTAGAGAGAGTGAAGCATCAAGTCAGAGACACTGCCTACCCTGCTAATCCCTTCCACCATGAAGCATCAAGCTGGAGTATTTTGGTATGTTTTATTCCGCAATTTTGACTTCCAAATGTGGTAATTCACAAAACATAGCCTATTTTGGCCCTTCCTCATGTCTCACTTAAAAATAGATTGCTCCTGCCTTCCCACATCATTCCCACACCCCGCATTTTTGCACCTACTGTGGGAATTACCCCACAACACCAAAAACATCACCCATTTTGGGAATCTCCACAATATCAATTATTCCCACAGCCTTCCCACCTCATTACAGCTTCACCACTACACTACAATAGATCCCCTCTTGTATCTAAGTAGTAGTTTGGTATATATGTGTATAATATTATATAATAAACCACTTTTTTTATTTATTTGTGTGATAGGTTCCCCTCTAGAGTCCTTTCAAAATGATGTAGGATATAAAACATTTTCGCACTTTTGCTCCTTTGATAGGGAAGTGTTCTAGGGCATTCAGAACATGTCTAGGGGTGTATATGAAGAGATTCCCCTACCTTTTTGAGCCCCTGAAGTGTCCTACATCAATAGATATTGCATATGTGCAGGAAAACACACAATATGGTCCCATTTGTTTATTTCTAGGTGGGTGGACTTGGAAACATGATCCCCAGCATCTATTTAACAATAGGAAAAATGTATCAGGAGATCAGGACCATAGGACAAGACCTTATTGCATAGTGTACTCCCCCTCTCCTAGTGGTTTACCCTTTGTGAAAAATTTTCTTGCAGGACCAGATCTCAAGGAGGGTAGGGGGACTATTTCTATGTATATCCTCAGTAGATATATCATATAACTAGCCCATGACACCTACAGGATCCTTCTACAGGAACAAAAACTTGACAATTCACATTTTTCACAAGTTTCATGTTTCTGACTATTCTATTCTTGCATAAATTCTCCAATCTGTTCATATATCATTAGTATAGGATATATAATTGCTTTTGATACCAGGATCAGTAAGATCTATGGCAGAAACTTGGGATCTGAGGTAAAGGGGGTATTTCTACTGATAAGAAGCTCATATAGTAATACAGAGTGTCATCAGTGATCAGACACCTGGGATACCTCACCTATATACCCCTTATGACAGCCCTAAAGTTTTAGAATGATCCATCCAGGATTGACTGATTGACAAGCAAAATAACATATGTGTGAAATGTCACAATTGACATCTTTTCACACAAAGCCACACCTATATATCACATAGGTCGAAGATTTTATTAAAAATGTGTAGGATATATAGTAGACTACCTAAGGAACCTATAGTACATACTTCCCTGATGGTAGACTGTTGGTGGAGGGATGTGGTATAGAAATGTTTGAATTGGTGGCTTATAGCCATGTATACACTTACTGACCATTTTCGATGTTTTGGGCATTTGAAGTTTCCCACACTCAATTTCTTATCTATTTCACTTGCCTAGCTCTCAATTCTGGGTGGATCTTGCTGTGGCTTTGGGTCTATAATACTGAATATATGTAAAATGTAGTCCAGGGGTCTGATCATTAAATGATGATGATATGAAGGTATGGGCTCCTCATCAGTATACATAGCAAGTATATACACTATCTCAGAACCATGGCATATTTTGAGCTGATCCTGGTATCAAAAGCAATTATATATCCTATACTAATGATATATGAACAGATTGGAGAATTTATGCAAGAATAGAATAGTCAGAAACATGAAACTTGTGAAAAATGTGAATTGTCAAGTTTTTGTTCCTGTAGAAGGATCCTGTAGGTGTCATGGGCTAGTTATATGATATATCTACTGAGGATATACATAGAAATAGTCCCCCTACCCTCCTTGAGATCTGGTCCTGCAAGAAAATTTTTCACAAAGGGTAAACCACTAGGAGAGGGGGAGTACACTATGCAATAAGGTCTTGTCCTATGGTCCTGATCTCCTGATACATTTTTCCTATTGTTAAATAGATGCTGGGGATCATGTTTCCAAGTCCACCCACCTAGAAATAAACAAATGGGACCATATTGTGTGTTTTCCTGCACATATGCAATATCTATTGATGTAGGACACTTCAGGGGCTCAAAAAGGTAGGGGAATCTCTTCATATACACCCCTAGACATGTTCTGAATGCCCTAGAACACTTCCCTATCAAAGGAGCAAAAGTGCGAAAATGTTTTATATCCTACATCATTTTGAAAGGACTCTAGAGGGGAACCTATCACACAAATAAATAAAAAAAGTGGTTTATTATATAATATTATACACATATATACCAAACTACTACTTAGATACAAGAGGGGATCTATTGTAGTGTAGTGGTGAAGCTGTAATGAGGTGGGAAGGCTGTGGGAATAATTGATATTGTGGAGATTCCCAAAATGGGTGATGTTTTTGGTGTTGTGGGGTAATTCCCACAGTAGGTGCAAAAATGCGGGGTGTGGGAATAATAAATAGGTCCTGGAGAAGCCAGGAATTTAGAAGCTGTAGAAGAAGTATGGAAGCACATACTAGAAAAGGTAGTAGCCAGTGAATCCTTGGTGGATCCCAGCTCAAACATATTATGCATCGTGAGAAACCTTGAAGCATCAACCTACACATGTCAGAGAACTAGACACTTTTTGCATCAAGGCCTGTGTCTAATTGTACACTTTTATGCTTCAATCTGACAGTATAGCCTGCACTGGTCCACTCCGCAACGCAAGCCTCGATCTATGAGAAGCAATCAGCATGAGATCAATGGTAGTGCAAAAATACTCACCCCAGTGAGAACAGCTGCAATGATACCCCAGCTCGCCCCACCAGTAGTCGAATCCTTGAAGTAGCTTGGTAGAGTAGCACCCAACGAGTTTTTCTTATCGTAGCACCACTTGATGACTCCGTCGACGATAATGTCGGTCTCAAATAGCCCTTTTCCAGCTTCACGATCCTGCCAGTTACAGTCAGTGCATGCCATCAAACACGGTGAATGTAAAATATAATCACCTTGCACATGAGGAGCTTACGGTTTGCGAGGACAGTAGCTGCACGCGCCGCGTTAGATTTGATGGCCTCGGGGGTTTTTTCATTACTGAATCCAAACTCGGTCTCGACGAGTGGGCGTAGAATAGTCTTGAGGTCGCTGCGTAGATTAGAGCCGCATTCAGTGATCTAATAACGAGTACACAGTGTGCTCCCAGTCAGACTTGTGAACCCTAATAGTAATGGTGAGATACTCACCAATTTATACGCGTCTTCATCAAAATCAATTTGAATGCCTTGAGAGCGGCAAGCGGCTGCCCATGCTTGGCCAGACCAGTCTTGCGCTTGAATGTCGTTTGGATAAATGGTTGAGTTAGCGAGAATTGACTGGTAGTGACTGATGGCAAGATGGACCGTTGCGGCATAAAGTTTGTCAAAGTCGGCTGAACGAAGGCGCCCGCGGGTACCACCCTCGCCCACCTTCACTTTCTTGACCACCTGGAGGCCTTCGGTTGTTGCCAGTGACAGATAACCTGCACGTTTAATTCCAAGTCCAGAAGACGTGAGTGCACTAACACGAGGGTGTTGTGGCACTGGGGAGCTAAACAACGACAAGTCAGCAGTGTCTGCATCCACTGGTCGTCTTTATTCCAATGGGGATGACGCGGCAGGCCCATATGCTCCTGCCCATCCATTACCATAACTTGTCATGTCAGTAGGTCCACGGGCACCACTCATTAGCCCCAATCCTCGCGCCACCGAGCAACGCTCAAGTTCAGGCGGGGTGACGATAGGTGCTGCGCACTGCTGTGGAGTAGCCAAGAATGTTGGATCAATGACATCATCAGATGGTGGTACACGGCTCAGTGGTGCAGATGGAACATGAGTCGACCGTTGAGTGAGTCGAGGTGTTTGGGTTGGAGCTCGTTGACGTGTTACACTGGGTTGCGCTACAGCTTTAAATGTGAACTAAAAAAAAACATGAAGATAGGACCATCTATCAATACCGGTACGCACCACGTCATCTTGATCAAATTCTGTGTCTGAATCTTGCTCTTTGGACTCGGGGTCCAATTGATGAAAGCCATTGATCTCTTCGAGTGCCTGTCGACCTCTGAGAGCTTGATGAGCATACCGATTGACCTTTCTTGCCTCTTTTTCAAGCGAAGCTTCCTCTGTAGTAAGTCAATAAGCATTGTAATGTTGTGTGTACCAAGCAAATACCTTGTGCTTGTTGTTTTGAGGTCTTGCGGCGCACTCGCGCAGTTTCGAGGGTGCCGTGATCCATCAATTGATCGGGGATTGGTGCACTCTGCCCTTTTTTCTTGCGTCCGTTTGCAGTCATCTGACTTGTTGAGACACCAATCAGTGGTGATGGGACACTGTTGCACCAGAAAAAAAATCAAGATAAGCTTTATAGCGCAGTGCGGCAAGATGCGGGACAGGTCCAAACCTTAATTGTCCGCTGGCATGCACTGTGAGACGCGCCATACACAGTTAATATCTGCCATCAGCTCCAAGCTCAATAGAAACTGACCGTTCAACATGCCTACTTGCAAAGATTGTGGCCATTGGGTCCCTACAACGTCCGGACTCAACAAGCACATCAGCAAGTCTCAAAGTTGCCGCACCAAGTGGATTGAACGGCTGCAAAACTTCAGCGTCAACGGCTTCGATCTTGGCGGAGGGCTTGCCGAGCCTCAGCCAGCAGATTTTGGCGATGGCAGCGAGGATGAACTGGACTCAGCAGACATTAATTTCACCAATGAATATGAAGCTATCCCAGAGCCTGGGCCAGACTTACCTCAAGACTCGGATCGACGAGCACGAGTTGAAGTTGAAGAGGTACCAAACGACACAGAGACAGGCCCTGCCCAAGACTTGAATGCGCGTTGGATAGAATCCTATCCTGCAGAGGCATTAGCAGGTGTACCTACGACAGATCAGGAGAATGTACCCACAAAGTTCCGCAGGATCCAGGATGAGTTGGAGACCAGTGATGAAGGGATGTGGGGGCCATTTCATGATGAAGACGAGTGGGAGCTTGCGAAGTGGCTCATTCAGAATGTAGGCCAGAATCAGACCGACAAATTCCTCAAGCTTCCAATTGTGAGTTGCCTAACTGGACCGTGCTTCTTTTTCTAAAATGAATTCCTTACCAAGATCAAAGACCGGACCGGCCCTTCGTATACCACCAACAAGGCGTTCTTGAAAAAGATTGATGGCCTTCCCACGAAACCTCCAGACTGGCACTGCGATATCGTCAAAGTCGCTGGAGATCTAGTTGACGGAGACGGTGAGATGTTGACGACAGAGTTGGAGTTGTGGCGGCGGGATCCAGTGGAATGCGTTCGCGAGCTCATCGGAAACCCGGCCTTCAAGGAGTTTATGGCCTATGCACCCGAACGAGCTTATGAAGACACCCAGGGCAAGAGTCGGATATATGACGATATGTGGACCTGTGACTGGTGGTGGGAGACGCAGGTGAGCCATAAGTCAAGTAAACTTGAAGCCTGCTAATCAATCAATTGAACAGGGTAAATTAACACCTGGTGCAACAATAGCACCTCTCATCCTCGCCTCTGATAAAACCAGTCTGTCTCAATTTCGTGGCGACAAGTCAGCATGGCCCGTCTATATGACCATTGGCAACATCGAGAAGGCCACTCGTCGAAAACCACGCATGCATGCCGCCATCTTGATTGGATATTTGCCGGTAGCCAAGCTGGACTGCTTTAGTAAAGCCACACGGTCAGTTGCAGGCTATCGACTTTTCCATGAGTGTATGCGGCGTCTTTTGCAACCCTTGATCGCAGCGGGACGTGAGGGGGTTGAGATGGTCTGTGCTGACGGGAGGGTGCGTCGAGTGCATCCTATACTAGCGGCATATGTCGCTGACCATCCTGAGCAGTGCCTTGTCGCATGCACTAAGGAAAGTTTTTGCCCCAAGTGCCGTGTTCATCGCGACGATCGAGGAGAACTTCTCACATCCCTTCTACGGGACCCTGACCGGACCCTGACAATCCTGGCGCACAAGCAATCAGGCCGGAGAGTCGCAGCTTACGCTCGAGAAGGCCTACGTCCTGTCTACCATCCTTTCTGGGCAGATCTGCCCCACGCCAACATCTTCGCGAGTGTCACACCGGACATACTACATCAACTCCACAAAGGAGTCTTCCACGACCATCTTCTGAAATGGTGTACCGATGTACCAAACATTCTGGCGCCAGCCTCACAATCACCAGTTATGCACGATCCGGAGCTCACCTGGTCAGGTATTCACGTCCAGGTTCATCCGGCCTATTCCGTCGACTCCCGCCCTCCCGGACACCTAACGGGTATGCAACCCGCGACGGATTCCCTCAATTGCCCCTCGTTCCTGTCCATCCATGTCCATCCATCCCCATTGGTGCGTTATTTCTCTCCTTTCATCACTCTGATCAAACAGCAGACTGTTTACATGTACATTCCCATACATGAGGCCGCTTGCCGTCCCTTACATATTATCGCGCTACGGCCTCGCCTATACTACCGTCGCTTAAGTGGGTCCTGAGTTTTCACGGGTTAAGATAAATAGTTGCATCGTACTCTAACAATATCACTTCCTTTTACTCCCTTGGATTTACTGTCTAAGTTGGTGTGATCAACAAGTCCCCTTAGTCTTCCGTACCGCAACGGACCTCTTTCCGTTCCTCGGATCACTTCCGGTAGCTCGTTACATCGAGACCTCGACACCTAGACACCTTGCCACCTCGATACCTTGCTACCTCGACACCTTGACTAAATCCGCACCGCTAGACACCCGTCCCATCAAAATCGTTCCCGTCCGGACATCTTCCTCTCACATCGGATTCCCCACCGCTCACCGGCCGCTCAGATCTTAAGCCCGTCGGATTGATTCCTTTGCATTTATTGCGAAGACATCCCTCAGTAGCAATCCCCTTGGGACGAGCTATAATACTCGCACTCAAAACGGATCGGTAGTCTACACTAACAGGCTACACGGAATCTCTTTCGCTCACCGAGATAGCGGGGGAAGAACAAATTGACGAGCGCTTTCGCATGATGACTCACTATCCCGGCCTTCGATATTTCTCCAAAGGCATTTCCCTTGTGTCGCAGTGGACGGGGACAGAGCACCGCGAAATGCAGCGGGTTTTTTTGGGTGTACTCGCAGGCGCAGTTCAACCCACAGTATTCCGTGCTGCACGAGCTGTGCTAGAGTTTATTTATTATGCTCAATATCACGCTCACACCTCGCAGACACTTGACGCCCTCCAAAACGCGCTGGATGAATTCCACGCACACAAGCACATATTCACGGATCTTGGGGTGCGCGACGACTTCAATATTCCCAAGCTTCACTCTATGATGCACTATGTCGACTCAATCAAGTCCCGAGGTTCTGCAGACGGCTTCAACACAGAATTCCCAGAACGTTTGCACATCGATTTCGCCAAAAATGCTTACCGGTGTACCAAACATTCTTTCTCTGGCCTCACAATTGATGATTTACTTACTTTATGTTGGTACTCTTACTGCTGACATAATCCAATGAAGTTTTGACCTAGTACCAGTATCTGTCTGAAAGTCCCCTGTCCTTTTGTCTTGTTTCCTGTCTGTTTCTCTCTCCTTGAGCACTGAGCCTAGAGCAGAGACCCTTTAGGGTCGAACTAGCCTAGGCCAGCAAGACCCAACATATTCTCTACAGCCTGTGGAGAAGTTGTCAGCACACCGGGCTACTAACAAGCGAGATTATGTAGCGCAGATGACGAAGTGGTTGATGCAACAGGAGATGGTTGATCAGTTCACAGCCTACATCGACTGGCGGTTGCAGAGATTTGGTGAGGACTTGGAGCCAGCAACCGGTGGAGATGAGGAGGACAATGACGACGAAGAGATGCCAACCACCACGCCTACAAACAGTGACGAAGGATCAACCACCCAGCCCATTCCAGTATCAAAACACATCCTCCCATCCCGTCCTTCATTCAAGGCATTGACCGTCGCTACTATCACACGCACGTTCGGCGCTTTCAATTTTTTGCCAGCATTGACTCAATTTCTTCGGCTCGATGTAGTACCTGCCAATGGCGGACTTATTGTCAGCGAATGGGATCGGTTCCACGCTTATCGACGACTCTCCATCCCGTATGAGAAGCTACCCGCCGTTCACATGACCAATGGTCTCGATCGCATTCGTGCTACTCCCCCAACTGCACCAGCTGGTCGTTCCTCTGGTACTGTTGGCAAATTTGATACTGTGCTTGTGCGAGTTGCAGGAGATACTAATGTGCACACTCAAGGGACTGCATTAGAAGGTCAGTGTCTTGCTTCATCGAGTCGTCTACGTGTTTCTGATTCGTGCTCGCACCTAGGTCTTCAAGTCGCACAACTGCGGTTGATTTTCGAGCTTCCGCGTCACCTCACAATTGTCGGTCAACCGAATCCAAGTCAACTGGCGTATGTTGAATGGTTCCAGCCTTTTCGTGCGCGAGACGAAGTGTTTCAAATGCACGCCGTGACTCGTGCTTATGCTGGTTGTGCCCCCCGCTCTTCTATCATCCCACTGTCGAGCATTGTTCACAGTTGTCATCTTATTCCGAAATTCGGTACTCAAGTGGACAGGAGTTGGTCTGCAGCACATGTGTTGGACAGTTGTAAGACATTCTACCTTAATTCATGGATAGATATGTACACTTTTTACAAATTGTGCAACAACTAATATTATACAAGTTTGATTATATCGTGTGCAGCAAGTTCGACCTCTAACAGTTGTGCTTTGCGAGCCGCTTCGCAATACCTCACTTCGGCATCCCACTGCTGTTCAACAATCCTGCGCATGTAATTTTGAGAGACCACGACGGGTGCTGGATTTTGGCGCCGGTAGGGAGGTGCAGGAGTCTTTGGTGAAATGGAGGGGGGGATGGGGGTCTGATGAATGTCGTTGAAGACACTGAGACCGGAGTGCGCACTGGCAGCCTGGTTGGAAGAATTTTGCAGCCGCTTCTCGATTTCCTCCAATGGGATGCGACGGATGAGTTCCCGTTTGGGCCTGCAACATTTGGATCAGTCTGATTGTGCCGGTCGCACCAAAAGAAGGTAAATATCATACCTTTTGACATCTGTTGTTGTCTCTCCAGTGATGGTCTCTGAGTCTGGGGAGTGCGAGCGAAGACTAGAGGCTGGTGAGGTGCGTATTGGTTTGAAATATTGTGATGCTTACCGCTTAATGTTTTCTTTATCTCAGCGGGCCATTGTGCAAGAGGTCGGCGTGGATCGTTGATGTAGATGAAAGAAAACTTGCACGAGGTACCGTCGTTTGATTTTGTTGAATTGTTTTGTATTCATTGGTGTCTACAATACCTAGGCGTCCTACCAGGTGCCTACCAAAAATGGACTGTCTACGTAGGTATATGTAGGTTGGACCTGCCTATGTGAATTTCGGGTTTTCCTGATGTTGATTTCGCCGTTGAATTGCTGCTTTATAGCGGATTTACTGATTGGGAACGTGAGTGCGCGTCCGTCTCTTTGCAGCAGCGATTTCGGGAGCGACTGGGTCTCTGAACTGTCTCCTTTGGCTGCTAGTTTCGCCTGTTCGTCGGCTGCTTCGTTTCCTGGAATACCTTGATGACCTGGGGTCCAGCGCACTTTGAGTTTTCGGGTGTCGTGCGTCGGGATGAGTTTGCGTAGGTCATCGTGGAATAGATCCATGAGGTAGTGTCCGGACTTGGATATGAAGGCGTCAGTCGCTTTGATCACGGCCTGATTGTCGACTCCCAGTGACATGGTTCCTTTCCCTCCCGCCTCTTTCAGCAGCTGTATCGCCAATATCATTCCGACTATTTCTCCCTCATAGACCGTGTGCTCTTGGTCACTTCCCACGTATAGCCTTCTTTCCTTTACCACCTCCTCTCCCCTCATTAACACGGCTGCCCCCCCAACTCCTCCTTCAATTGCTGATCCGTCCGAGTATGCGCGTAAGTCTTCGTCTGCCATTGCGTTGTTGCTGGTTGCTGTCTCCATGTCTCCTGCTATCTCCTTGACTACGTCGGTTTTCCACTTAGGGTAGTGTCGGGTTGGCGCGATCTTTTCGACTGTGTGCGGGTTTAGTTGGAACTCGTTGAGGAGGCGGTGTATTGGCGATGGGTGGCGCTTGCAGCTTGCGAAGTTTCTTCTGGCACAGGAATTATACGCTGTGCGGAGCCCTTTGAAGAGGGGGTGCGATTGGTGCAGTGTTGTCATTCGCAGAGTGGCTCTGTGGCATGCCTTGCGGAGTAGCTGTTGAAAGGGTAGGATGTTAGCGTGTGCGTCAAGTAAATCAGTTGCAGTGGTTCTCATGCCGCCCGTGATCATCGTCAGTTGCTATTCTTTGAACACGTGTCATTTTGGAGGCGAATCCTCGCGCTCCTCGTCCTCCCAGTTTTCTTCCCTTTCCTTTGGCGATGAGGCCGGCGCACCAGACGTCGGCTGCATAAAGCATCTTGGGTAGTACAACTCCTTTGTATAGCTTCTTCAGGAGTCGTCCGTGAGCTCCTTTCGTTGCTCGCGTCATTCTGTTGCAGGCTAACGGGTAGCGTGTGCCTTTTGCTAGTGCGTAGGTGGCGTGTTCCTTGAAGGTCAGTTCATCGTCTACTATCATTCCCAGGAATTTGTGGGATTTGGAGGGTTCTATAACATGGTCGCGTATGGTGATGGACGGTCGTGGGATTGGAACGGTCTTGCCTTGTCTATTTGGGTCTGGTGTCCGTCTTCGCGAGACACAAAGAAGCGCTGTTTTTTCTAGTTCAAAGTCAGCGTTGTGTTCGGTACTCCAGTCTAAAGCTCCCCCTTGTTTTTCCATCATGTTTTTCAGTTTTCCGTTTGCCTCTTCGTAGGTCTTTCCTTTCGCCGCTATTGCTACATCATCTAGAAAACCTAGGCTTAATTCGCCTTGGCGTGGATCGGGGTTAGCTATTCGTAACACGGGTGAGTTGTAGAAAAGGAATCCTATTACGGATAACGGGCAGCCTTGATCAACCCCATTCGAATACGTTGAAGGGGTCTGATCGGTAATCATCGAAGTGCAGGGTGGTCGTTCTGTTACTGAGTCGTTTACTGTACCAGTTAATATATTCTATCGGGATTCCGGATTGGCGCATGTTGTGAAGCATGCGGTTGACGACTACGCTAGGGAATGCTGCCTTGACATCTAAAAAGAGGATTGATACGAAGTGGTCTGTTGAGGCCCAGGCGTCTGTTACAAATTTGGTTAGTAAGTGTAGGGAGTCGACTGTCGATTTCCCTGGTCTTCCTCCGAAGTGCGTTGGGGGGAGAAGGTTATGATGTTCGGCTATGTATACGAGGTCGTCAGCTACGCATGACGAGAGGATTTTACCCATTGTGTCTAATAGGGTAATGGGTCTGTAGGCCTTCGGGATGTTGTAGTTCGGCCTTCCGGGTTTTCTTAGTACTACTGTGGATGACAGTTTCCAATCTTCAGGATAATAGTTAAGTGAGAACGTAGCTCGGAATATTGGACCCATGTATGGTACTAGCTGTTCGGAACATTGCTTGTATACACAGTTGCAGATCCCGTTCGGGCCCGGCACTTTGAACAGGAGATAGTTTAGCTATAGCACAGGTATATTTGGTTGTTAGTGACGGGTGCGAATTCGCAGATCGGAGGAGGGTAATTGAAATTCGGCTCAACATGTTCATTTTCCGGTGGAGGACGGAAGAAGACCTCATAGAGGAGTTCGCTCTTCCGTTTGTTGTCCTGCGTGCCGTTGCTGTCTGCTGGTTCTTGAGGGTCCTTTAACATTTTGATTCTCAGTGTGTATTTGATCGTTCGGGTCACTTGCTGCAGTAGCGATAGAGGTCCCAGATGTTTGCCGGAGTGAGGTCGTTGAGCCATGCGTCCCAGTGTTCTGATTTGGTTTTCTTGATGTGGTCGGATAGTCTGTTGCAGTGCGACACAATATTCTTCGTGTATTGGGTCTTGTCTCCTGGCGAGTCGACTTCTTGCCTTGTGTCCGAGTCTGTGTACTTCTTTTCGTTCGGCTTCCAGCGTTTTCGACCACCAGCGTTTTGCATAAGGAGACGTCTTGGCTTTCGGTACCTTTTCCTCGACGGTTCTGGCTATGGCTTGGGTGAGGTGTGCGAACGCGAGTTGGAATTCATCTATGGATTTAATGTTAGTTGGGGGGGGGGGGTGACTTCGAGGTAGGATGATAGCGCTTCTCTAAATTTATCCCAGTCAACATCTCTAAAGTTTCATTTTGGGGTGATGTCGATCCGCTCCGGTTGGAGGTCTAAGGTGCTGATTATGGGGAAGTGGTCAGTTTTCACAGGTTGTAGTTGATATTCTACAGAGCATTGAGTGAATATATGTTCTATTTCCGCAGAGCAAAATACATTATCTGGGCGGGTGTGGTTTTTTGTATTTGAGGCTTCTAGTGTTGCTATTCCTGGTGGTAGTACTTGGGTCAGGTTATGTGCGTCTAAGAGGTTGATTAGTACTTCCGCGGCGTCTAGGTTCGCCGCGGTGAACAGATGGTTATTGTTTGTCATCTCCCACATGGGGTGATGACGGTTGAAGTCTCCTAGCCAGATCATGTGAGTGTTCGTTGTTTGGTCGTCGCCTTGAGCTATGTTACGATTTCGGTTTCGGTGCGCTGTCTTTTCGATCGTTATGTGGTTGTCCAGGAATTGTAGCGTGCGGGCGTGGTCGCAGGCGTTGTATACATTATAAACTCATATTTTACCGAATTCTCCGTTGAGCCAGACCCTTCAGTCATTTTTCATGTAGAACCCCTGCCCCGGATGTGCCAAAAGGTCGTAGAATCATGGCTAGCCAGTCCCCGGCCGGTGCATGTAGGATAAGTGCTGGCCGGTGTACTATCTTATTATCACTTCAGTATCATTATTTCATGTAGGATTGGTGCTGGCCGAGGTATTATAGGCCAATCTCTTGTATGTAGTATCAGTGCCAGCCAGTCTATAATACTATAACCATCTCTTTTGTCTTGTATGTAGAATGAGTGCCGGCCGATATATCATATGACATATACTAGCCATAAGATCAAGCTGGCTGGTATATGTAGAATATATCTACTGCAGTCTGATTTCATTAGTAGACTGGCCAGCTTGTATCTACGTGGGTAGGAGCATGGCTGGCCAGTTCATAGTCCTTAAGTTAATATACTGGCCATTGAGTGTACTAACCATAGGATCAGGCTGGCTAGTATATGTAGTCATTGGTGAACCTGCCAGTCTGTATATACATATGTAGGAACATGGCTGGCCGGTTTGCTTATGTTTCACTAGCAGACCAGCCAGCATGGTTCCACATGTGTAAGACCATGGCTGGCCAGTTTGCTTATATTTCACAAGCAAACCGGCCAGCCTGGTTCCACATATGTAAGACCATGGCTGGCCAGTTTGCTTATATTTCACTAGCAGACCGGCCAGCATGGTTCCACGTGTGTAAGACCATGGCTGGCCAGTTTGCTTATATGTCACTAGCAAACTGGCCAGCCTGGTTCTACATGCGTAGGAACATGGCTGGCCAGTGTAGAGCTTTTAAATTATCACTTTTCATTAGTATACTGGCCTTTTTTCATCTATGTATGTAGGAGCTAATGGTTCAATTCTCATCCCAGTCTTGACAAGTAGATATATTTGTTGTACAAAATTGATCAGCAATGAAGACAAAGGAGTATATAAGATCAGTTCTGGGCTCTCTTAGAAGGTTGCCTTGTCCTGCCTGATCTGCGGACTTCAGGCTCAATCCTAGGCTTCTTAGACTCACTGGTCGAAGCTTGGGGCATTCTTCTCTTCCTCCCTTTCTGCTGCTGCTGCTGCTGCTGCTGCTCCTCCTCCTCCTCCTCCTGCTCCTCCTCCTCCTGCTCCTGCTCCTCATGCTCCTGCTGCTGCTGCTCCTCCTCCTGTGTCTCCTTCGCTTTCGCTTTCGCTTTCGCCTTCTCCTTCCCCTTTATCAAAACAACCTCCTCCCCTGGCACCTCACCAAGTCCCCCTTTTGCCAGCTTCTCTATGTGCTCAACAACTGTGGCCAAGACCTGCCGAACAACTTGATCAAGAGAAACCAAGACTTCTAGATCGAAAGCAGAACCAGGTAGGTAGAAAGGTGTATTGGGGTCAGCCTCATCTTCCTCATACTCTATGACGCGTTTAGACTCCCTATAGAGGAGCCCAATTCCTAGAATCACTGGCATGGCGGATGCTGCCCCTGAGATTGGAGATGTTCGTAGCTTTTCCAAGCTAGCCTTCAAAGTGTCATAAGACACATGCACGTCCTCAGGAAGATAAGATTCTCCCCAAGACCAGTTAGCCCAGATAGGCAAATCTGGATTCTCCTCTGAAGTTGGCTATTGGACGAACTATGAGCTATGAGATTAAGATACACTCAAAGTTATACTGACCTTCTGCTTGGCAAACTTTGCCAGATCCCTAATGGCATCTATAAGCTCCAGGTAGTCCTTATTCTTGCTTAGAGATTCGAGGAATGCATATCGATCATCGATTGAAACATCATCTGGGGTTGTGATCGCCGGCTGGGTTCTACGTTCTGTGAAATCAGAGCTGTTCAAGGAAGGAAGCCGGTCGCTGTCTTCTTCGTCTGAGTCAAGTAAGCTTACTCTTTTCTCCTTAGACTTCTTCTTTCTTTCTTCATTCCTTACATTTGCCCGCACATCACCATCCTTGGCTTTGACAAAAACGACTAGCTTCTTGTTTGCAGCCAAATTTTGTTCCCAATGGTTCCATAGACGATTTACCTCCTCAGTTTTCATATGAGAAGGGTCTTTGACCACAAATGCAGTGGGAACAGAACCATGTTCCAAATAATTGGACGAGGCAGCAGTTATCATACCCCAAGGCACAGGTCTAGAGCCCCCAGTGCAGACTTCTACAAACCAAAGCATCAATCAAATGCTAACAAATATGAAGACATAAGAACTTACTATACGAAGCATGAAATATACCCCTAATCAATTCATGTTGGCCCCTAAGGCCAATACCATCACGACTAGGAAGTTTGGCATATCCATCATCATCTAGGATAATTTCGGGTATAGCAGCTTCATTGCCAGCATCCTCATTGTCTGAACCCTCCAGGTCCTGATCATCTGAAGGATCTATTAGTTTGAGTGAATAATTAGTGTTAGTACGCGCAAGATTCAAATTCCCATTAGCCACATACAAAACTCGGTCTTTGACCATTCTGCAAAGGATTCAAATCCAGTTGCAGTCCACTCCTTGATCCCATTGGAGCTGACAGAAAACCTCTTCTTGACATTTTGAGGGTCGGTTTCATGTCTGAGACATAGTGATTAGTTAGTCTAGTTAGCCTTGAGAATTATGAAAGTTCAATCACTTACAGACTGACAGACAATGTCTGACTAGCTTTTTTCTTGTGGCTAACGAACATCACCACTCGACAACCCATAGTACGTCGGATTTGCTCTGAAATGTCTTCAAGTGTTTTCTTGAGGTTGTTCTTCCTATACCTTAAGGAAGATCTTAGACGAGATCAATGGTAAATCTTAAGTCAAACTTACACTACTTGACTTTCTTCTGGTGCCCCCTCCCTATTCCATTTGGTCATGGCGAACTTGACCTCCTCCTGTTGTGAAGGAGACATATTGTCAAACCATTCCCTGGCATGGCCAGTCCGATACTTGATTGAACGTTGGACACCTTTCCTTCTCTGCTCATCCTTGTCAAACTTATCTATTCTTCCTTGAACAACCTCTGTGCAACATCCCATTCGGTAAGTGATTTCTTGTAGAAGGACACTTCTCTTGGACGACTTGCGGCCTCTCGTTCCTCGGCCTCTTCCTTGTAGGCGATGATTTGGGAACAGTATTGTTTGATTTCCTATAATGTAGCATTCACACATCAATCAAATGTATCTACATACACAAATAAAATTTTGTTACCTTTTTCAAAGAAGTAGGCAATTGGGGCACATCTTCCTCTTCATCGTCTTCAAGTTCCTTTGGGCTGCAAGTATAGCCTTACGAATTTTCTTCACCATGCGTTTGAGAGCCTGTGGTGAATCTGCAGTCACAATACCTTGATGATAATGATCAAGAATATATTTAAAGTGAGTTGTCCAGTCAGAAGGCATTGTAGTTCAGTCAAAAAAAAAGGCTGAAATTTTGATAGAGCTGACAAGTACTTGCGGTAGGAGGGCGGCTGGCCGACAAACTGATTTGAATCCCATATTTAGGTAGTGTAACATTAATATGACCATATTAAGATTATTCAACAATCAACAATCA